ATCCACTCACCTCAGCTTCCCAAAGGCGCGGGATTACAGGCTGAGCCACCGAGTCCGGCTCAGGTGAGATATTTTCAACCTTATTTGCTAACTTTCTTTCAAACAATAAGTCCTTCACCAGTGCCTTTCAGCCTGGCCTTTCCTGGGAGAAGGGAGAAGTTCATTAGAATTTACCTGTCGAAGGGCAGAGGCTTCTGTAAAAGGTTGGCAACAACTGCATCCATGTTAAAGCTGGCTATGAGGGAGATGGCTTCTAGTATAAACTGAAAACTTTCCTCATTTTGTCTGAGGACTGGCATGTGATAGTAGATTGTGTTCAAGATCACCAATAACTAAAAATAAAAAAAAGCCAAGTTAAACATTAAGTTGCTTTTTTTCCTGTGCATGGATGGCTCAGGGCATGCACCATCAGCATGTTGTAGATGGCTATAAATAGTACTAAAAACACTAAGTGATTCTACACATGGCTTGTTTTTCACTCAAGAGGATTATTGGTGAATTAAGTATTTATTCCCAACTCAATTTAGCAAACATTTAGTGAAAAGGCATATTATGCCAGGTGCTGTGCTTGGCACTGTAGATGAAAGAGATGTATCCTTTTTGCAAAAGGAGTGTGTGATTGAATAAAGGATACTAGGCATGTGCCTAAAGGACTGTGCTCGAGGACGTCTATGGCAAATGGTATAAAAGAGGACACAGGACTGACTGGGGAGCCTAGAAGTATCTGAGTCACTTCAGAGGGGTATTTGGGCTGAGTATTAAAGGACTTGTAGTAATTTCCAAAGGCAAGGTAGAGATGGCAGGGAAAGGCATTCTTGTCAGAAAGGAGAACACAGGTAAAGATATAAAGTCAAAAGACACAAGGATAGGTGGAGCACAGAGGATTTTCAGGACAGTGCAACTACTTCGTATGGAGTTATAATAATGAATACATGTCATTATACATTTGTCAAACCTATAGAACTGTACAACATCAAGAATGAACCTTAAACACTAAAATCTGTATAAACTATGGACTTTGGGTAATAACGAAGAATCAGTGTAGATTCATCAATGGTAACAAATGTACTCTGTTGGAAGGTGTTGATAATGGGGGAGGTTGTGTGCATGGGGTGGGGAGGAGGGGTTAGATGGGAGCTTTCTGCTTAATTTTGCTGTGAACTCTAAAAATAAAGTCTATTAAAAAAATGAGAGCATGGGCATAAGAAAATGTCAAGAAGATTTCTGGAGTAAGAGAATGACTCATTTCGGAGAACAGAAAGAATGAGGGTGATTAAAGAAAGATGACTTGATAAAAAAGATGAAGCCAGATGCCAAAAGACATTGAAGTCCATTTTTATGAATTTGAATGTTAATCTTTAGTCAATAGGAATGATATTATACATTTGGGATTTTGACACGGACAAAGGCAATTATCTTACACTAAGATAGCTTTGCTTCTAGTAGATCTTTCTCTCTCTTATTTTAGATAGACATCAAATTCAGACATTTATTTTAACATATTTTTTCTGAATTATAATTCCTTAATCATAATCCCCCAAATATAAGTGCCATAGAGTCCCAAATCAGTAATGCCTGGGGATAATTTAAGTCTCTGTTGAAAGCCTTTGCCTGTTGTGTGAATAACTTCATCTTATGTAAACACACAAATACATAGTTAACTTTGATTCACTCATGTCTATCCTAGTGCCTACTTAGTGTGTGCTAAGTACATGTTTAAAAAGACGTATTAAAAAGTAATCAGCACAGAGGTAATTTCTAATGTTCTTACACAAAAGCTATACTTCGGAGAATTTTTATTTTTTAGTGAGAAAGGAGAATTTATTGAGAGTACAGAAAAGTTCCCACAGTGGAAGGGGACCCGAGAGGGTTACCTTTTTTTTTTTTTTTAGTGGAGAATTTTAAAATTGGGGATGGTTGACTGAGTTATGGGGCCAGAACTTCTTTCTCTTATTCTCTTTGAGATGCTTTCATTTGGTTAAATATTTTTCCTTCTTATTAATGCTTGAATAGCTTGTATTCTGTGTCTGACTAAAGGAGAGAGAATAGAGCCATCTCTATTTGGAACTCTTAAGCTTCCTGAATTTAAATCTTACTCTGCTTAACTTCTCAGTTGGGAGGAATAATTGAGAACTTTCCTCAATCTAACGGCAGCCTCGCTTACCAGACAATAAACTCTATGCTGTGTGGAAGAAAGGCCTGAAGAGTAGTGGGATTAGAAACTCTCCTGCCCTTGGTGGCCATCTCGAAGGTGTCCACTGTGAAGTCACTCTTATTCTCATAGATCTAACAACCTGGTTTCCCATCATCAAAATGGTCTTAGCTCAGAGCTGTTTCCTCCAGCCAGGGGTGCACATTGAAAGGTTTTTTTTGGTTTTTTTTTGAGTTGGAGTCTCACTCTGTCGCCCAGACTGGAGTGCAGTGGTCACTCTTGGCCACCACAGCCTCAACCTGCTGGGCTCTGGCGATCCTTCCGCCTCAGCCTTCCAAGTAGCTGGAACTACAGGCATGCACTACCATGCCTGGCTGATTTTTTGATTTGTTGTAGAGATGAGGTCTCGCCAAGTTTGAAAGGTTTTTATGATTAAAGACTAGAGAGACAATTGAGACCGACACTCAAAACAAGCCTTGTTGTTAACACACAACTTGGGTCTCTACCGAGTCCTCTTGAGGATGAGTGTGCTCTTGCCTGATGTCTGTTAGAGGACAAATGGAAGAAGGAATTTCAGAAGTGTTAGAACTCTGCTAGTTATCAAACTAGCTGTCAGTTCACCTGATCTTTCAGGGCATCTCCGTGCTCCTTCAGGACAGCAATCATCCATATGCCACAGGCCTTTGTACACATGGGGTTGAGGCTCTCCAGACCATCCAGTGTTTCCTCCAGGAACATCTGAATTTCTTCATTTGGGATGAATTTACTGACAATCTGAGAATGCACCCAAAAAGATTCATATTAGCCACCACCTCATTTTACATCTGGATACCTACAACATGCTGCTATTGTTTGTTTCAGGATGTTAGAAGCCGCTGGGCTTTCTAACAGTTAGCATATGACGGAGGCCATAGAGACTAGAGGAAATACTAAAATAGGACACAGACACGATCTTTTATCTCTAACCAAACTTTTTCTAAAGTTTCCTTCTTATCATTTTATATTTATTGAATCCCGAGCTTGCTGAGGCAATTTTCTCTTCAAAACTAAAGTTATAGCATACTGCATGAGGGAAAAATAATGCCGAATGCCTACATAGCAATGTTTATATTGTAAAGTTACTTTACAATATATACATTGTATATACATTCTATACATACTATACATTCATATATCATAGCAATATGTCTTGAATCTGCCAAAGAATAACTAAGCCTTGGAGAATTCAGATAATCTATCCACATATACTAAGTGCTACTGAGATACAATACTCAGGTGGCTGATGACGTCCTTGTGAAGTATAGATTATTATGAGCCCTGTGTCTTGCTCTTCCAAGGAGGGAAGGATCGCAGGAGCCCAACAGGTCGAGGCTGTGGTGGCCGTGAGTATGCCATGCACTCCAGCCTGGGTGACAGAGTGAAACTCCAACTCAAAAAAACAAAAACAAAAACAAACACAAACAAGCAAACAAACAAACAAACAAAACCAGGCAATAAAAGGTCAAGGAAATAAAAATTTTTTTTTTACAATTTTAGTCTCTTGGTATGAGAACTATACAGAATGTGTGGTTGGTTGAATGACTTCCAGGAGTGTCGTCTGGGGCTTTAACTAAGCAAAATGGCCATAACTATGTTTGCAGACATGAGAACATTTTTATTCACAACTGGCTTCTCCCTGCATTAAATGGCCTATTATGTTTTGTTGAGAAGAAATGAGCTCCTTTCTAAGAACAGTTGCACATCACAGCCATATTCCGGGCTATCATGGTTCTGCCATCGAAGTACTAGATTATCGCTTCTATTTTCTGCAACACCAAATGGTTGCCTGGTGTCCAAGCTCCATGATTATGTGTTTTGTTCTCACATTGGGATGGATGTTGATTTAGGAGAAAAGGAAAGAAGGAAACTCATGTATTTGATTACTGATTTTCTTGGATCCTTTACTGTCATCTGTGGAAAATTTCCATAGCACGAATATAAATCTATAAATGTCTGCATTATGAATGATGTTGCCTTACATGAGGGTGCCCTTTTGCATTTCACAACTGGCACAATTGTACCAGTGACCTGACCAGTGTCATGGTCTTACTCTTCTGATCAGAATGCTCTATTGTCTTTGGATTTCAAATGGAGTAATAAACAAGGTCCTTACAAAGGCCCGGGAGGCCCCCGAGTCAGACTGTGGCTATCTTTTAGATTTCATTACTCACATTTTTCTCTACCTTCAGGCCTTTGCACTTGCCATTTTCCCTCTGCCTGGAATGTTCATTTCCAGATATCTCCATGTTCTTTCTTTACAGAATGGCCTTCTCTAGAGGATCATCCCTCCCCTATTCTCTATTCCTTTACTTGACTTAATTTTTCTCAAATATCATTGTCTGACATTATATTTATTTGTTTGACTTCCTCTACTAAGATGCAAGCTCAGTGAATGCAGGGATTTTGTCTTTTTCTGTCCTTAGAGCCTACAACAGAGCCTGGAATATAGTAGGTGTTCAGGAATTAGTATGTGAATAAATGCGTGGTTGAAATGAGTGATTGAATTGATTGGTTAATCCTTATAACTACTCTGAGAGGAAAACTATGGCTTTTTTGTTTGTTTGTTTTTGAAGACGAAGAGACTGAGCTTCAAGTAGTGCACACAGACTGCATTTGATTAACTCTACAGTCCTTGTTCCTTTCACTCCACTCCAATGCATCCTATACCTGGGGTAAGGCCACTTCGTTTGCAAAACTTCCCATAATATGAGTTTCCCATGGTTTCCCCTGGTAGCAAGTGTTGAGTATGCACATGTACCCAGAGTTCATAAATGACAAGATGAAGTGTCTTTCATTTAGCTTGAATGTCTAGATTGCTGCCTTCCTTCATAGTGGTGAGTACATAGCTTACTCATTTGGAAATCAACCCAGAATCATTTTTATGTTCCTTGGCCAGACTTTCATATATTACCTTAGCTATTTTAGAAGAAAGCTTGATTTGGACCTGCACATCATCGCTTTCCAGTCCTTCCTGCAAATCCTGCAGTCTTTCTACTTCCAGGTGAATGCCTAAAGTCAAAAAAGGGATTTTAAGACTAAAGAGTTCAAAGACTCTATAGGGATTGACGAAGCTGGCTCTATTTTGATGTGACACCAAATCAGCCGCTGTCTGACTAGGTGGCGAACATAAGAGCTAACAAACACAGAATAGTTTTCAAATGCTGAGCACAATGCTAAAGACTCTATATACAGTGATCTCATTTATTACTCATAAAGATAATCTGAGGTAGACTCCCTCTTTATTTTCTCAGTTTTGCAGATGAGAAAGCTGGGGCAGAGAGATGGGAAGCTATTGCCCAAGGTCACACAGTGAGTAAAAATAGGAGGATCAGAATTTGAACCCTGGTCTGTCTGATACAAATACCTAGGCTCTAACTACTCTGCTATACTGCTATCTCTTTTGGATTTCCAGTCTTCAGTGAGCTCCCTCCCTCACTAGGGAAACTGAAGAGTAACTATTGTGATGAGAAGTTCCTATCAACAACTGCATACATGATTGTTGATATCAATATATAAATGAAGACCTCCATAATAATGACTTCCTGCTTGTTATTTTAATGTACAGGAATTGTGGAAATGAACATGTGAATTGTGAAAATGAACGTGTGCCATTCTGTGGAAGGCAGTCTAACCCAATAGACCACATGGATTTTGAAGTCAGACACACCTGAGCTCAAAGACCAGCTATGCTACTTTCAGGGGTTCAAGTAATTGATAAACTTAATTTCAGATCTCTCCATCTCAATATGAATTGCACGACATCCATGAAAATGTGCATTTAATTTAGTTTTCAACTTGTTACTTGTGTCCGGTAGGTGTTTAATAATTCACATTTTTTTCTGTCCCTTCACCATGCTGTTTGATCAATCAAGGAAAAAGACTTAATGTAAATTATAAAACATGAAATTTCTTGCTAACAAAGAGTGTTTGAGGCTTAAATTTTTCACATTTTAGGAAAATAAGGTAGGCTAAAGGCAGAGTAGATAGAATATTATAACTTAAATTCCTTTTCTCTTGCGAGTCTTCTTCTGGACATTTCTTCTCTTACTGGAACGGTTCTTTAGTTTTCACTTTCTTAATTATATTTTCTTCCTGGCTTGGTAAAGACATAGATCCTTAATTATCTTTCCATATCCCAAGGAGCTTTCCTACCTATGCTGATTCTACTGAATAGTCTTTCTTTTTAACTGAGAAACCCTCCCTCTGCCAACCAAATCCCACCATTTGGTTTTAACACACTTTTCTATCTGAATCTTAGAACTGTAATATCTCTGTGTTCTCAGTATCAGAACAGTGCCCAGCACATGAAAAGGCACTCAATAAACATTTTCAGTACCTAGAGAATGTTGAGTGGAACATAGGTAGGAGAGATGGCATTAAGCTTAGACTGAGTGTTGCTGGTTGCACCTGGTTTCCACAGAACTGTGCACATACAATGCCAGACTGTCCTTAGTGAAACACCTGCTGAATTAACCTAGACAGGAGGCCCTGACTGTTGGCTTTAGCCTGAGACCGAGGTTTTAACATTCCTTATACTTTCTGACATTGACAGTTATTTACACGTACTTGAAAAGCAGGAAGATGTCCTGTTTTGTAAGCTGGAAAAACCTCCACAAAGTTCTGTCTCTTAGAGTGCTTTGAAAGTCACTTAGCACCAAAATAATAAAGCAATTTTCTCCAGAAGAAAACCATGTGATAGAGGAAGCACTACTAATATGCCCAATTGCTCTATGATTTAAATCAGAGACTCAAAACATTTTACCTACTTTAATGGATCTTTGTAATGCTTCAAAGTTATTATATTTATTTTAAGAAACAGGAAAACAGAGCCATTGAGGAAGAAAATGACTTGTTTCAGATTTAAGAGACAAATTTTGTGATATAATTAAATTATTGAAACTGAGAAATGGTTGAACTGGAGAGGAAAAGAGAGAGAGAGGAAGGGAAGAGAGAGGAGAGGAGACGGAGAAGGAAGAGAGAAGAAGGAGACAGACATAGGTGCACAAGGAGAAAACTTAGAATAAAATAAAATACTCATCTTCTTTTCATTGGGGGGTTCATCCCCTTTCCCTCACCTTTTATACAGAACAGACTAATAGCCGAGCTAGCCGCCGCCTGACGGATAGTAGGTAAGGTGTCACAGGTGTGAGGAGCCAGAAGCCCGAGGAGTGAACCAATTTTAAAGTTCTCTGGTGCCTACAGGACAAAGGAGGCACCCCATCATTATGGAGTGGCTTGAGGATATCCCAAGATATTCCCAACACCAGATCTTAAGTCCCTTATTTTCTCTCTGCAGGTCCTTAGAATAAAATCTAATCTTGAACTTTCCCCTAAAAGGTGCCTGATTTTTTCAGGGCACTGGAAAGGTACACTAGCAAGCATGGAAAGACAATCAAATAGCTCAATTATAGTGCAGTTGCTGCACTCTGAAGTTAGGCGATACCTTCTCAGTAGTTCCCTGGAAAGAACTCCGCTCTGAGACCTGAGATCCATCATGCAGGAGTTTTCGACTCCAGAGGCCTCCGAGATCCCTGTTGTTCAGAAGCAATGATTACTTACCACAATATCATTTGTCAGCACTTTTGCAGTGATCTGGAAGGCTCTTTCTCTTTCCCACTCTTTTTGTGAAACAAGCCACATTCGGAGAAGCTGTTGGTCAAATAATAAATGTCCTTTCTTTACTATATTTCATATTCCTTTAGTCTTATATTCTCCTCACAAACAATTTTTAAGTGGACTGACCCTACGTGAGGGTGGGCAAGTCAGACCGGGTGTCTTCCGGTGAAGTTTGGAGTGGCACATTGAAGGACAAATAAGGGAGAATGGGAATCCATTTGAGTGGAGGCACTACTCACATTAAACACCTCTTGACAGTCTTCTGCAGTCACATTATCCCACATCATGGTCCTCAGAAGTTTTCCTAGAGCATCCATGGATCGTTCATAGAGAAACTGAAATCGAATGTGAGTGTGTGAGTCTCAGGCTGAGGTGAGAGGGTGAAGACCCACTACTGTACCATATTTCATTCTTCTCTAGGCCTCATTGCCACATACTTTAATGTGCTCCTTGTCCCGGTCTGTCTGGCCCTCATTTTTCAGATTTTTCAGAGGTGGAAGGGGCAATAGCCTCCGAATATTCTCTTCAAGAATGTTGAGGTGGTCAATTAGTGAAAGCTGAGGTTTCAGTTTGCTGAAACGAGAACCATGTGGAGGAATAAATACTACAATTACCAACAGACCATACCCAGTATAGTTCCCAAGAAATGCCAGTCAAACCTGACCATGTGCCAAACGTGTCACATTTTCTGACACGTTGGAAGGTTGAGGGAGGTAATAACAGGAGTAGGGAGAAATAAGGACATGAACTCAGATGCGTTGGTGAGCATAGTCAATATGCCTCAGTTCTAATTGATTAGATGGATGTACATTATTACTCACTTTGTATTACTTAACACTTTATTATATGCTCTGTGATAGCATTTCCTACTTGTTTTCTCCATCTTCTCCCTCTCTCTCTCTCTCTCTCTCTCTCTCTCTGTGTGTGTGTGTGTGTATGTGTGTGTGTGTGTGTGTGTGTGTGTGTGTGTGTGTGTGTGTGTGTGTAAGAGGGAGAGGGAGAGAGGGAAAGAAGGAGAGAGGTGAGGGTAGGATGTGGGGAAAGAGAGAGAGAGAGAGATATCTCTCCAACTAGACTGTAAGTTGTCTGGGACAGTGAGTGAGTTTTGTCCATTCCTTATGTCCCCTCATGTTCTGAGTGTGTGTGTGTGTGTGTGTGTGTGTGTGTGTAAGAGGGAGAGGGAGGGGGAGAGAGGGAGAGAAAGGGAAAGAGAGAGAGAGAGGAAGCAGGGGAGAGAGAGAGAGAGAGAGAGAGAGAGAGAGAGAGAGAGAGATCTTCTCAACTAGATTTTTTAAGTTGTCTGGGGGGCAGTGAGTGAGTTTAGTCTATTTCTTATGATCCTTCATATTCTATGTAGTGCCACACATACTATAGGTTCTTGTGAATGCACAAGTGAATAAATGATACTGAAATCTTTCTTCCTTTCCTTCTTTCTTTCAGACATTTGCTACAGATATCATGAAGGTATAAAAAAAACTGGACATAACTTGGAAAAACATGAATGTTCAATAAGCATAAAAAACTCATTTTAAATTAAACCAATAGGATACCACTTGCCAGCTATCAAATTAGCCAAGAAATTCAAAATGATAATATCAGGGAAAGGTGAAAAATGTTCCATAAAAGATGAGTAAAATTCAGTAGCAGTGGGGATGCTTTATTGAGTCCTGTCATCTTTATTGTCTGTCAGATTGTCTTTAAAAAATAAAGTTATTGAAAAATAATTTGTGTATAATAAGCTGCATTCATTTAAAAATTTTGACAGGTGTACACACCCATGAAAACACCACCATAACCATTATAACACATTTCTGTCATCCCCCAGTTTTTCCTTATGTCCCTTTGCAGTTCATCCTGACAATTAGAAAGCACTGCTCTAGAACCTGGTTAATTTTTTAAATTCATCTTCAAGATTGATTTATTTGAGTTTTCTACAAACCACCCTCATCTTTGTTGACATTAAAACCTGTACTTTCCCTTATCTTGCCTCTTATAACATTTTGGAGACATTTGTGTGACTTTTACATCGATTTTCTCCAGTAAGCTGAAACTCCTTCAGAGCAGGGTCATATTTTGTTCATCATTGCTGTTTTAGAAACCTAGCTCAATGACTGATATGACATTTACTGAATGAAACTGTCAACTATTATACTTAGAAGTTTAGAATATACTGGTTACAGAAATGTGTTCATTAAAGTATGATTTATAGTTTTTAAAAACAGGCAAAAATTAGATATCGCAAAAGGAGGTTGGTTAAGTAAGATGAGGCATATAGATATAGAACTATATGTCTTATTTTTATGACATGATATTAGGTAGCCATTAAAATATATTTGTTACCTCAACATAATAAATGCCATATGTGAAAAACCTATGGCTAACATCATACTCAATGGTAAAAGACTGAAAACTTTCCCTCTAAAATCGAGACAAAGACAAAGATGCTGTTTTTACCACTTCTATTTAACATAGTACTAGCCCTAGCAATTAGGCAAGAAAAGGAAATAAAAGACCTCCAAATTGGAAAGGAAGAAGTAAAATGATCTTTGTTCACAAATGACATAATTTTATATACAGAAAGTGCTACAGAGTCCACCAAAAAACTGTTAGAACTAATAACCAAATTTGGCAGAGTTTCAGGATACAAAATAGACATATCAAAATCATCTGCATTTCTATACACTAAAAATGAACCAACCAAAAAGGAAATTAAAAATTTCATTTACAGTAGCATCAATAGGAATATAGTACTTAGGAATAAACTTAAGTAAGGAAGTGTACGTTTTATACACAGAAAACTAAAAAATGTAGTTGAAAGAAATGAAAGAAAACATCAATAAATGGAAAGACACCCTGTGTTGATCACGGTTTTAATTTGTATTTCCCTGATGCTGAGTGATGTTGAGTATTTTTTTTTACATACTTGTTGACCATTTGTGTGTCTTCTTTTGAGAAAAGTCTACCAAGGTCCTTTGATTATTTAAAAATCATGTTATGTGTTTTCTTGCTATTGAGTTGTATTAGTTCTATATAAATTCTGATATTAAATCCTTAACAGATATATGGTTTGCAAATATTTTTTCCCAATCCATAGGCTGTCTTTTCACTTTTTTGATTGTTTCTTTCATGGTGCAGCAGGTCTGTAGTTTGAGGTAGTGCCATATATTTATTTTTGCTTTTGTAGCACAAATTTTGGTATGAGGACAACCTTTACAACAAATGTTGCTGAAAAAACTGAATATCCACACAAAAAAGAATTAAGTTGGACCCTTACATTACACCATACACTAAATTCAATTCACAATGGATCAAAGACCTAAATGTAAGAACTAAGACTACTAAATGCTTAAAAGAAAACATAGGGTTAAAACTTCATAACATTGGATTTGACAATGATTTCTTGAAATATGACACCAAAAACACAAGCAACAACAGTAATAATAGACAAATGGACTACATGAAAATTGAAAACTTTTGTGCATCAAAGGACACAATCAACAGAGTAAAAAGGCAACTTATGGAATGGGAAAAATAGTTACAAATTATATATCTGATAGGTGATTAATATTCAAATCTATGAAGAAATTCTACAATTCAACAGCAAAACTTTGAACAACTTGATTTAAAAAATGGATAAAGGACTTGAATAGACATTGCTCCAAAAAATATACAAATAGTCAACAAGCATATGAAAAAATGCTCAACATCACTAATCATTAAAAAAATGCAAACAAAACTCACAAAGCCTCTCATCGATTAGAATGGCTACTATCAAAAAACAAAACAAAACTCAGAAAATAACAAGTGTTGATGAAGATGTGAAGAATTTGAGCTCTTTTTTTTTTTTTTGAGTTGGAGTCTCACTCGGTCACCCAGACTGGAGTGCAGTGGCCGCTCCCGGCCACTGCAGCCTCGCCTGCTGGGCTCCAGTGATCCTTCCACCTCAGCTTTCCGAGTAGCCGGAATTACAGGCATGTGCTAACACGCACAGCTGATTTTTTGATTTATTGTAGAGATAAGGTCTCACTGCCCAGGCAGGTCTCAAACCTGCGGGCTCAGGCAATCCATTCACCTCAGTCTCCCAAAGGCGTGGGATTATAGGCTGAGCCACTAAGCCCGGCTGAATTTGAGCTCTTGTGCACTATTTTTGGGAGTGTAAACTGCTATGGGAGTATAAACTGCTATTGTTATAAAGGTTGTCCTCATACCACCAGTATGGTGGTTTTTCAAAAAATTAAAAATAGAATTACCATATGATCTAGCAGTCCTACTTCTGGGTATATGCCTAAATATACTGAAAGTAGGGTCTTTGTGTACCTATGATCATAGCAGCATTATTCACTATAGCTAAAAGGTGAAAGCAACCCAAGTGTCTACAACCAGATAAATGGATAACAAACATGGCATATACACAAAATGAAATATTATTCAGCTTTAAAATGGAATACAATTCTGATACATGCTACAGCAGAGATGGTCTTCAGGATTTTACCCTAAGTAAAATAAGTCAGTCACAAAAAGATAATACTGTATAATTTCACTTTTATGAGGCACTTTTAGAGTGGATAAATTCACAGAGACAGAAACCAGAAAAGTGGATGCCAGGGTCTCAGGGAGGAGAGAATGAGAAGTTGCTCAATGGCTATAGAGTTTCTGTTTCACAAGATGAAAAGAATTCTGGAGATTTGGTGTACAACAATGCGAATGCTCTTACTTAGCACTACTGAACTGTACACTTAAAAATGATTACAATGATAAATTTTATGTCATCTATTTTGCCACAATCAAACATAAAAACAAAGTTAAAAATAGTAAAAGAATAATGTTTGTAAAGAATTTGTAACAATAAGGAAATATGTAAGGTAAAGTGAGAAAAAAATAGGATGAAAAATGATATGCAGAATAGAATTTCAACTCTGTAATAAAAATGGAGAAATAGAAATAAAGATTTGAAGGAAATATACCAAATGTTGACAAAGACACTATGGGTGATTTTTATCATTTTAAAATGTTTCTGTAGTTTTCAAATTTTAGCAATGAGCTTGTATTTCTTTTATCGCAGGGAGGAAATGTTATTTTTAAAAATGTACCTAAAATTATTTTCTTAGGTTTACTGCTGCTAACCAACTAGAATGTGATTAGAGCTTTTATACATTTTTAATTAAAAGTTTAAATTTGCCTAGAGGCCAAGATCTAGAAAGAGAAATTTCTATTTGCACAGAAATTTCAGTCACCACATGTCAATTACTCTGATTCCTCTGAGTAGCTCTTTAGTCTCCGTTAGTTATCAAATGATCAATGTCTCAACCAGTTCTGTAACTTTTTGGAAGAAGAAAAATTCCCAGTTTGAAAGTTCAATTAATGAACTGTGTTCATTTTTGGGAGGATGCACTGGAGTCAGCACTGATCAAGTTAGTTGATCAAGATTTCTATTTTTTCAATAACAACAACAAAAAGTTCTCTACCTGAGGTATCTAATGGCAATTAAAGCTTTCCACCGAACAGGACTGGCTAAAGAATCCAAGGGCTCGTCCCTAATGAAGTCCTGCAAACAAGAAAGTAGGAAAATATTTCAGAAAGACCCAGGGAAGTTCCAGATGCAGCTGCAATCTCACTGGATCATCGGGTGCTCTGGGTCAGAAATAAGCCATAGATATGTTACAGTGAGCAGGTGTGTTTTACCTGTTCTAAAAAAGATAGCCCTGAACTCTTGGTAATGGAATACTAAGGGCCTTTCTCATTCTCTCTCTGCACACTCACCAGCATGTAACCGATTAGCAACTCCTTGTAGGAAAACTGAAAACTCTGATCCTCAGCGTCTTGGACAGCAATGCTAATCTCAGTGATGCTTCTTGTGAAACTCATTTGCAGATCCATGTCCTAAGACAAAATGATTCATGGTGCAAGTCAGAGTCTTAGGCACCACACTCAGGTCTATAAACAAGTAACATAGAGTTGAAATATGTGCCCAGACAGGAGTGAGAATCTTTGCTCCCTTTACCATCTCTATCCCAGCCTAGGATCTAAGTTGCAGGGAAAGAGAGAAACAAAGACTAATCTCTCCCTTGACCACAATTGAAGATTGTCTACAGCAGTAACTTTCAAACTTTTTTGACCGTAAACTACAGTCGGAAAGAGTTTACAATTCCACTCAGTTCTTATATGTGCAAAATATATCTGATACATAACTGAAATCAAAATTTAATAATACTTACAATTACTATATGCAATGGACTCTTTCATTTTTTATTATATTCATTAAAAATTTTTGCTGGTTGTAACCTCTTAATTTCATGGTCAACTGGTAGGTCACAAACCAGTTTGAAAACCATTGCTCTAGCTTACAGTCCAACTTCCAAACTACCTATAACTAGAATGCAGCTCCTTGTTCTACCCTAGATTAGACTCATGAGTCCTGGCTTTGGAATTAGATTACTTCATTATATATTGGGATCTTTTCTACTGGAATTAAATCAAGAGGACGTCTATGCTTGGCACACTTCAGGAGAGCATTATTTCTCTCTCTCTTTCTCTTTCTGTCTCTCTCTTTCTCTCTCCAATTTCATACCTTGTTCATCACAGACATTCCCAGAACCTGAGAAATTAAAGGAAAAGGTAGACAGTGAGCAGCAGTTAGAAACACACCCAGCCAACAAAAGGATCATCAACCTGAAGGGCAAGAGTGAAGCAGGACTGGGAGTCTTGCCAAGGGGGCCTCACCAGGGGGAGGGGAGCTGTTCACTTCCTCCCTGTTTCTAAAGTGAAACCTTATACATTAGCAGATTCTTTTCCCCAGGTGAGTCATAAGTAAGCTACAGAAGGCAGAATAGAGACTTCAAGCCTTTGAGTTTCCAGGCTTCACAGTTTAAAAAGGCTTTAACAGACTTATGTAAGGAAAAATGGTAAGGGCTTTTGAGACGAGCAGTGAAAAGTTATAAAATGAAAAATCATAGGGCAGTTGACTCTGGAACTGAGAGTACAGTCAGTTCTGCTATAACACTTGCATTGAAAGTGCAGATTTGTTCCAATGGGTTTGATATACTGTGTTAGGGAATACTAGTAGCATGCTCTGAATTTGTATTTGCTTATGTGCAGTTTTGTTTAAGAAGTGAAATATGTACAACTGAACTGACCCATGTAGGGATACTCAAAGTGCACACACTCACATAATCTAAGCGTTTACCAGCTGCCTCAGTTTACTGCACGTTATGAGCTACTCCAGTCCATGTTCGGCATTGTAACTGTCACATAACCCTCCTTTCTTCTGTTGTTTTAGAATAACTCCCAACTTTCATAACTGACTTCAGGTGTTCCAAGATAAAGTGCCATTTTGGGGTATTATTTCTGTATTTTTAATTAAAAAATTAGGTTTCTTTTTTTAAAAGTCACTGATGGGGTTTTTGAATATTATGCCCAATCCCATTATCTCCGTAATCCCTGTTTTTTTTTCCCCTGTATTATCTTGTGCGTTTCATAGGAGAATTGACTGACTGTAACTTGAAAGTATATCGTAATCTTTATCTTAATCATCTTTATTTTTCTTCCTCTTTTATTTTCCTCATAATTTTCCTCAATGAATGATTAGAAATTCATGCAACATAAAATGTCTTCTATTGTGTCTTTGGTGCTTATCCTTGCTTATCAGATTTTGGGGGCATCAGATGCAGCTCCTGAGGAGTATATTGCAAACAAGACTCAGTGATTCATCCTGAGAATTGTGATTCATGAAGCATCCCTATTTTTAACAGGCTCTCTATACAATCTAGTAACTAAGGTGTGAAGATCATGGCCCTACGCCTTTCTCTTAGCATATACTGATGACTACGACTTCATCTGCTCTCTCTGAGTCTGTCTTATCACAGCCACAGAATGAATGATGCCAAGAGCACATATTCATCAATATGTGGTTTGTGGGGGACACAGAAGAGGAGATTAAAGAGCACCAAGGCATTGATAGCCTAACAGGACAAACGGATATGTACATAAGCAATGAAAGCTCCCCACACTTGTCTGTAAGTAGGACTCATTCATGAGCCTCTTAAGCATACAGATTTTCAGTCTTCCCAAGACCTTCTGAATCAACTTCTTTGAAAAATGACTCTGAGAAGCTGTATTTTAGCCTTGATCTCTAGGTGATTCTTAAGACAGTCCACCTGGTACTTGTCAGGCTGTCAATTCATCAAAAGGATGAATTGACAATATGTATAAAGCAATTTACTAAAGATAGAAAGATAGTACTATGGATTACAGAGCTGATCAAATGAGTTTCAACTCAGTTTAGTGGCTCCAAGGTTGGCACACTCTTGGCATGTTTAAGAAGTATCAGGGAGAATCCGGGCGGCTGGGATGAATGTGGAGGGGGGAAATAGTACAACCGAGGGTAAATGGAATAGCTTGAGGAGTAACACATTTTATTCACTTAAGAATATACACCCGGCGCTTAGAATTTATGAGACACTATTCTAGATGGTTTATAAATATTACCCTGTAAGAGGTTAAACAGCTATCATTGGGTAATGCTTCTGAGACTGGTGCAGAGAAGTAATAAGCCAGTTGCTCTAAAATAGTAAAGGAATACTTGTTTTAACTTCAAACAAGGGTGAGATCACTCTGAGCACAATTGACCTAGGAAGGCATCACAGGAGTGGTGAGACGTGAACTGCTTAAGGCCTTAGAAAAGAAACAAATTATCTGACACTATTTCATTAAACAAATTACTTTTCCTATATGTTCTTATCTCCTAAACATATCAGACCCTATCTTTCTTTTGGCCTGCATCTTTTGAGCCTAAAGATTCTAAGGGGCTGTGACCCTGAAAGGTTTGGAAACTCCAACCCGGAAACAGAGACAGTCCTGTGATGAGTGTTACCTGAGAGCACTGGCCATAAAGAAACAGGACTTGTGACACGATGTCTTGATTGAGTCTGCTGAGAAGCTGCTTCTTGGGAGCATGGAGGGCTACTGCTCCATAGGTGACCATCACATCTGTCTTGGTCAGGCTTTTTTTCCCAGAAAACACACTCTGAAGACCAGGAGAAGGAGACATGAAAAATATGACTAAAGACGTTTTCTTTCATTTTTTCCCCCCTAATTTTATGGACCACTACACTGTAGGGGTCTGGGATGATTAAAATGAGTATAAAACTGACACATTCTTGATTTTCTAAATGTAAGCAGGCAGGACTGTGTTGTGGGCTTATGAGGCCTTCAGAAAAGTAACTGGAAGAGGATTTGTTATTTACTTATCAGATTTCTCTCCTTCTGGGGAAGCAGAGTATACATGAGGGAATCTGTTTATGAGGCCTGAGCAGTTGGAAGAAGACAAACCTAGGCACACATTAGGGCCTTCCAGATCAGCATTAGTGACAGAGAAAATGAAGTAGACTTGCCATACAGCTGATTATCCTACAGGGCCTGGGCTTGGACAGGTCTGACCTGAAATAAGGACCTGGGGACAAGAGTAAGTATAATATAGAAAAACAATATTCACTGAACAAGCCAGTGTCATTTGCCTTTGCAATGGTCAAGATCTCTGAAAAAGATTATTCTTTTTACCTTACATCGATTGATGAAAAACTTTTCCTGATTTTGGAATGCTTTAAGAACTCTTAAAACAATATCCAAGTGGTTCTCAGCACAGTGTCCTAATATAGATGCTATTCCCTAAAATCGGAAAAGAAATTTTGAGTTTAACCCTTCATTTATTCAACAGATATTTACTGACCACCTATTATGTGCCAGACACTCTTCTAGGTACTAGGTAGGAATGCCGTGTTGAGCAGTACACACCAAACTCCTTATCTTTCTGGAGTATACAACGAGGGGAACTGATGGGGAGGCAACAGGGAAGTGAACTAAGTAAACACATAAATTCAATACACTTGTCAATATTTAGTGTGCCAGATGGTGGCAAATGCTATAGAGATTAAAAAAAAAAAGTAGGAAAAGAAAAATAGCTGGTTGAGGGGAAGTTTGCAATTTAAATAAGGGCAGTCAGAGATGGCTTCATGACCAAGGTGACAATGAGCAGAACCCTGAAATGAGTGAAAGAGTGAGCCATTGGACTATCTGGAAAGGAGAGTTCCCCTCAGAGAGAAGTGCGTGCAAAAACCCTGAGGTCCACTGAAGAAGGCTGAGTGAGCAGTCAGGGAGGAGAGCAGTACAAAATGAGGTCAGACAGGAAGTAGGGGATTTGTTCCTGCAAGGGCCTTTTAGGCCATCCTCAAGACTTAGGTTGATGGGAAACCAGCAGAGGTTTTCTTGAGCTTGAGCTGACTGATATCTTTAAAGAATCATTCCACTGCTGAAACTTTGCCTTCAGTGGTTGTTTTTGAAAGCTGGCAGCTTTACTTGCTACTTATATTTTCTCCTGCCCACAGTCTCTTCTCACTACTCTTGTTTAGGGCTCATTTCATCACAATACCTTCATGGCAATTTGTTTATGAATACTGTTATATTTCATTTGACTGCATACATCTGCTAGAGGCACCATGAGAACCCATCGACTAGGGCAAGTTTATGAGTCAAGATTTTAATACGGCTCGTATGACACCAGAATTGGAGTTCTGGTATTACATGATTGTAAGAGTCATGCTCAGGAGATTGAATGCCATTTAGGCTTAGATTAAGAAAGTCACATGTTAACACTTACTCACCCAGAGGTCATTTACTAAATGATTTGAGTGCGTAAGACATACTCAAGAATTTACAGTTAAGTAAAATAGATATTTGGGAAGCTCGGCTGGATGTCTTGGTTTGTCTTAAAATTTGTGAAACTCTCAGACCTCGATTGATACCTCATTATATGCTTATATCTGAAATCAACTTACTTTGTTTTCTAACCTATAGTAGGACTAGGATGGAAAAAATGGTGTTAGAAATAGTGTCAGGAGTAATATATGATAACAATATTTGACAATAAGAAATAAATAATAGTAATATAAAAGCAGTTTCAAAAGTTCAAGAAAGTTCTAGTGATTTTTGGCCATTTAATGTGGGGAAAAAGAACACTAAACATCTCAGATTTTCTGAGGAAAGTATATAATACAACATACTAAAATATTTTTATTCTGATGATCTTTATTACTGGGAGGTTTTTGTTGTTGTTGGCTTATTTGTTTGTTTGTTTGCTTTTAATGCACATCCTCTCCTTCCTCCACATTGCATATGTTCTCCAGCCTAGGCTAGGGTAGGAAATAGGTAAAGTGCTTTGCAAAAGCTTCCCAAATTATACTTATATTTTTTCTAGATTGAAGACCAAGAGTCTATAATATTACTGCCAGCTTGTAAATTCAATAATTTTGATGTTCATGCTCATGCACTAAGTTATGAAGCCATTGGACTACCTGGAAAAGTTTTGAAGATACCTTTGTTAAGTAAGAATGATTGAAATTCATTATTCAATATTTTCACAAACTTGGTTAAAAATGAAATGTTGATATTTACATAAGAAAACCTCATTTTTCTGAAAGACTGTTGGACTAGTCTAAGTGCATTCATGGATAATTCACATTAAGCAAGATATTATCATAAAAGCTATCAGAAGTTTTTGTGGACAGGATTAATTGTAATCATCATAAGAGGAAATTGAGAACAAGGGGTCCCACCTGTCTTTGATCTCCCAGTTGCTTGGGAGCAACTAGGAACTCCTTAATTTGAGAGCTTACAAAGTCTGTATCTTGGCAGAATGCTAAGGTGGTTCCCAAGGCTTTCCAAAGGAATTTCTGGAAAACAAAAGACAAGCAACAGCATTTTATGGATTGAAAAGGAAGACTCTCATGAAAGTGGAAAGAGTTAAAATAGTCATCTGAGGGAAACTGAGGTGACTTAATAACTGCCTGATAGCCATGTACCTCAGGTATGACATCTTCTTGACAGTGTTTCCTCCTCTCAGGCTCTGTGTGCGATCTGTGCTCTTCTTCTACACTCCTCTAACTTTGTTGCCCTGCCATTAAAGTGCCTTTCACTTCCCATTGTAATTTTTATTTTATTGTTTGCCTAAATGCTCACTGAGTTCATGGTAGCAGAAGGTCTTATTCATTATTCCCAGTATGTAGTACTTGGTAGCTAATATGTGCTTAACAAATGCTCATTGAACATGTGTGCTCATTGAAAATAGGACTATTTTTAAGATGGATTTATTTTCTAAGAGTCAAACCATTTCTAGCTATATAATATCAGATTGCCATCTCTTTATGTAGACTCTACATCTTGTCACACAGGGGAGAGAAGACTGGCCAGTTTGTGGCCTACCTTAAGGGCTCTGTACGACTTGCAGGTTTGCAGCTATTGCATGGTCATTATTAACCAGGGGGAATCTATAGAATAAGAGGAAAAGAAAAGCTAGTAGAAACAGATGGCATTAAGTTATTTTATTCAGGATAAATTGTGCTGATCAGTCCGACTTGGGATAAGAGGAGAGACAGAAGGTGGTAAAAACAGGTGGAGCAGTTCCTCTGATCTCAATTCTCAGAGTGAGAGAAGCCTCAATCAGAGTGAGAATTTGATTAGGCAGCATTCACTCCTCTCTTGATTGTCCAGTCAAAACATTCTTATAATAAGGAATTATAATGAGAAAAACTGTGTACACAGAAGCTAATATTAATTAGGGGCAAAACTTCTAGGGGCTATTTAGTTCCACCTTGGGGGTAGGATTGGAAAGAATCAGGGAAAGTCTTGTGCTGCAGAAAAAAATTATGTTATGAAGGGGAAAACCCAGTACTGATGACCTGTTACTTCTCTGCTGATTTTGGTTCAATGCATATTATAGTCCTGCTCTGAGACTTGGCATAGAATCCGAGAAATCAGGAACCTAGCACTGGGAGAAAATGTGGTACAGTGCAAAAATAGCTACAACTTTTCTATTCTACCTCTATCCATGTCTCCTTACTGTGGGGCATTGTAGCTCCTTCCATCAAGAAAGGGGAGTCTGGGCTAGCCTTGTGACTTGCTTTGGTCAGTAGGATGTGGCAAAAGTGATAATGTGCCAGATCTGAGCCTAAACCTCAAAAGATTTGCATACTTACTTGCTACCACTGGGAGAGCAAGCCTTAGTCAGGCTGCTGTAGGATGAGAGACCACAAGTAATAGAAACAAACAGTATGAGTAAAGAATATCATAGACCAGCCTGCTGCCTCCAGTATACCTTGAGAGCCTAGTTGAGATCAGATGACTGCCCAGCTAAGCTCATCCTGAATTGTCAAAGTATAAAATTGTGAGCTAAATAGATGGGTGTTATTTTAAGCCACTAGGGGTAGTTTGTTATAGAGCAAAAGATAATTAGCATATTCTTATTTTACTGTTCAGTGTAAGGGTTGATAACCATATAGGCAGCTCTTGGTTTATATTTCTCTGCCTACTCATGTCACTATTATCCTTATGGGTCTGGAAGCTGTTGAATGACTGGTATGACATGAAGTGTACAGGGCTAGTTTCTGTGATAAGAGGATGGGACAATGCTCACCGTATCTTCTTAATGAGCATTTGCAGGCTTGGTAGGCCGATTTAGAGAATCTATACTCTGTTCAGAATTAGAAAGTCAATCCATGAGGGAAGTTTTTAAAATTATGTAAATGAGTTGAAGCTTGATCATGAATAATTTTTGGAAGAAACACTTAATATTGGGACTAAGAAACTAAAAATTTTTTTTCAGAAAAGTAAACTTATGAATGATGTTAACATAATAAAGACCACGATCAAAGCTCCTTTTATATCGAGCACATGCTCCGTGTCAGGCACTTCATTAGGGGACTTTTTATATTTTGTCTCATTGAACCTTCATAAACTACACACTTCAAAGGTGAGTATTGTTTCTATTTTATTAGTCAGTATATGAGGATCCAGAGAGGTTAAATAATTTACCTAAGACTACATTAGCAGTAAGCAGCAGAAACTGGATTCAAAACCCATCTGGGATGGAGGACTACAAGATAGAGGTTATCTAGAGGTCATTTGGAGACAAAGAAATGGAATAAATGGCTTTTTAAAAAATTTGCAGTAAAATGCTTGAAAAATGCTTTCTCTGTTGTGCTGATTTGTCCTGTTAATTCACTCATGGCCGTGGGTTCTTTAATTGTTCTCTGGGGCCATTCACATGGCGAAACCTCTTTATCATTAGAGATAAAACCTATTTCTTTGGGTACCTTTTCCCAGAACTCAGTTCTGAGCATTCTTTTAGCTGTAAGCTTTTGTTAAATTACAGTGAATTTTTTTTCTGACAAGCAACCACAGGACTGCCATAATGGAAAATAGCTTAAGTGGACCTTAAACCAGTGCTGTGGCAGAGGCTGCTATTTGCCTTCCAGTATCCATCTTTCTTCCTTTTTTAGGAAAAACCTCCCCTGAATTTTAGTCAGGTACATATCTATCTACAGACACTATTCCTGCAAGTTTGGGCCAAATGTGCAGTGAAGAGAAGGTAGTATTCAGTTTTCAGCTAAAGGCCTTAAAAAAAAGGAACTTTTTTTTTTCTAACTGTTCCTCCCTCCTTTAGTTGCACTACAGACAAGATGGATCTTGAACAGCTATTTTCAATCATAAAGCAAAAGCTAATGTCCTCCCCTTGGCTGAAAATACAACCTTCTCAATGGAGGTGTTGCTGTAACTGTCCATTTGCTGGCTGAAATCCCGACTCAGTTGAATGGTCCAGGCTGTGTCATTGATCCTCCATAAGGATTCTTTGAGCAACTGTTGTAGGAAGTGGAAGTCAGATGTGAGTATGACTATTTCTTGTGCTTTCTTGATACTTTTTGGTTTTCTTATCTTTTAAAAATATAAATATATATTAAATGGGATGATTCATTTTCCAATAAAATAATTGGTTCCTTTGGAACTTTTCCTTTCTGTTTACTTCAAAAACCATTTTCTGATATGTTCTAAGTTTCTATTAATAATAAGAAACACAGAATGTGCAGATAACTCCATGTAAGTGCTTTCATTTTTTTTCTCTTAAATAAAAATTGCTGAAAGACTTAAAATAGAAACTAAGCTAATCTGAAACAATTGAAGTTGGGATTTTTCAAGTTTTGAGAGATTTGGAAAAGCTCCACTTGTTGATGTTAGTTTGGCTTATTACATACTCAAAACACTCAAACAAACAGGAGGAAGATTTTGGGAATCAAGAATTAAATGTCCTTGCACAGACATCTCTCAAAAGATATACAAATGGCCAACAAACATATGAAAAAAATGCTTAGCATCATTCATCATCAGGGAAATGCAAATTAATACCACAATAAGATACCACCTTACACCAGTCAGAATGGCCATTATTAAAAGATCAAAAAACAATAGATGCTGGTGTGGATCAGAGAAAAGAGAGCATTTATACACTGTCGGTGGGAGTGTAAAGTAGTACAACCTCTATGGAAAGCAGTATGGAGATTACTCAAAGAACTAAAAGTAGATCTACCATTTGATCCAGCAGTACTACTACTAGGTATTAATATTTACCCTAAGAAACAGAGGTTGTTATATAACGGAGACATTAGCACCCATATGTTCACTGCAGCACAGTTTGCAATTGCAAAGATGTGGAATCAACCCAAATGCCCATCAACCTATCAGTGGATAATAAAAATGTGGTATATATACAGCATGGAATACTACACAGCCATAAAAAGGATGAAATCATGTCCTTTGCAGCAACATGGATGGAGCTGGAGACCATCCTCCTAAGTAACCTGACTCAGAAACAGAAAACCAAACACCATATGTTCTTACTCATATATGGGAACTGAACAGTCACAAAGATGGGAATAATAGACACTGGGGACACTAATAAGAAAGCAGGAAGGAAGGTGATAGGGTTCAGAAACGATCTATGGGGCACAATATTCTCTATCTGGGGAATGGACCATCTAAGACCCAATCCCCACCACTACACAGTACGTCCATGTAACGAATCTATGTACCACTGGAATCTAAAATTAAAAAAAAAAAAGAATTAAATATCTTGAAGTACATGAACATTTAGATGTACAGGTACAGTTCTGCAACTTCAACTCCAATAAGTAAAGATTCCTGGTTTCACCAATTGTTCTGAGCCAGGGTCACAATCAGTACTTGGAATCCACGCCTTTCTTCATTGAGCAACACATAAAAGGGTGCTTTTGTCTTTTTGGATGACAAAACCCAGTGTAATTTCTAGAATATATTATTTATCTCATATTTTCTCTATTTTAAGCTTAAAAAGGTACACAATGCCAAAACCAGTGGAAGGATTTGTATGCATTTTCTTTTTTTTTTTTTCACTCTGTCACCCAGACTGGAGTGCAGTGGCCGCACCCGGCCACCGCAGCCTCGACCTGCTGGGCTCCGGCGATCCTTCTGCCTCAGCCTTCCGAGTAGCCGGAATTACAGGCATGCGCTACCACGTCCGGTTGATTTTTTGACTTATTGTGGAGATGAGGTCTCGCTGCCCAGGCGGGTCTCGAACGCGCGGGCTCAGACAATCCACTCACCTCAGCCTCCCAAAGGTGCGGGATTACAGGCTGAGCCACCGAGCCCGGTTTGTATGCATTTTCTTAGTAGGAACTCATTTAGTGGGTTCTTTAAGAAACGAAATCAAACAACCTTGGATGTTTAAGAGAAGATGGCACATGCAGCCAGTTTTAGAAAAATCAGAAATACAGTCAAGATTAGAAGAGGAAAAGGAACTGTTTTCTTTTTTTTTTTTTTTTTTTTTTGAGTGAGTCTACTCCTTCGCCCAGACTAGAGTGCAGTGGCACACTCGTAGCCACCAGCATCGACCTTCCGGGCTCCTGCAATTCTTCCACCTCAGCCTTCCGAGTAGCCTGAAACTACAGACGCGCGCTACCACGCCCGGCTATTTTTTATTCTACTGTAGAGACGCGGTCTCACCAAGTTGCCTACGCTGGTCTTGAACTGGCGGGCTCAGGTTAATCCACTCGCCTTGCCCTCCCAAAGTGCTGGGATTACAGGCTGAGCCACCAAGCCCGTCCAGGAACTGTTTTCAAAGCTTCCCGCTAGAAAATAAAGAACAATTTCTTCCTAGTTAAAACAGTTGTTTTAAAATGGCAGCAGGGGGAAATCTGGTAGGAATTTTAAGAAAGAGAGGGAGCGATAGAAGAAGCATAAGTATAGAAGGAGAGGTGAGTCCTAGAGAGTGGAGAGTAGCAGGAGAATAGAGTGGTTATGTTCAAATCTTATATTAAACACAAATCACTGGTGGGAGCCTTTAAACCATGCCAGTTCTCAGGTACCACCCCCAGAGATTCTGAATCTGGAAGGGGTGGTGGAGGGGATGCTGTGGAGAGGTCACTGAAAATCGATACCTTTAAGAAGCCATAGGTAATTTCAAGGTAGGTGCTTTATATGTCAAAAAGCTGTTATATTAAAAGTTCCCTGTCTTTGGGCTCCTCAGCCTCTTGTAAATTCCTGAAGCCAGATCTGTAAAGCCGATGTCAAAGTCCTGTCTGTAATGTATCATTTCTGGGATTTGGTATTGCTTGTGGCATTGTTTGGTAGTAAGTGTTCAAAAAGTTTATGGGTGAGAGCGGAGATTCTTTTTTGGAAAAAGGATACAACTTGGCCCTTTGGTTTTTTGAAATCAGACAAAAGACAGCTAGCTGCAGATAGAGGAGGAAATGAAGTTTATTTAGAAGCAGAGAAGTGGAATTTATATTAATGTGTGTTTCTTTACATGAATAGTAAAAGTATGTAGTTTCAAGAAGAGGAAAAAGAACTTGAAAATTAGGGCAACCCCTTCGGGTGCCCTCCCACTGTGGTAGTTTTTCTGTTCGCTCAATAAATCATGCTTAAGAAACAAACAAACAAACAAATAAAAACTTGAAAATTAGAGAAGGTTTAACAAGAACTTCTCTTTTAACAAGAAAAATATTACTAAGTGAAATTTTCAAAAGCCTCTTAAACTCTGTAACAAATTGACGACTTAAGACTGTTGTTGAAATTATGGTGATTTAAAGATCATTATCTTTAAGTGATCACTTCCAACATTCTAGTCCTTTCCCACAAACAAGGAAATGTTGTTTACTGCCTTTAGGAACCTAGTTCTTTTAAGTTTGGAAGGCACTTTAGCTGATTTCATCATCCTATCATCAACAATAAGTCTAGAAGTCACCCTTACCTGAAGCAGCATGGTTTCCCATAGCATAATACTGGTGTATTTTCCTAGAAATAAAAATGGATGGAATAAGTGCAAAAAACCCACAAGACTCAAATTCTCCCTTGCCAGGTCCCAGTGGATACTGGAGTTTCATTTCAAGCTTTCACTTTCCTTGGAATATTTATTTCAGATCACATTTACTATGTTGGCACTTTACAGTGCTACATAGGTGGACAGATGGTCTTTAATACATGGTAAAATCTAGGCTTTTTGCTCATTTCAACAGTAACTATTGAAATGACCATATTTTGTTATTCTAACATGAATGAATAGTAACTTCTTAGAAAAATACTAGAAGAGTTTCTCTAGATACAAGAAAAATATCAGAACAAAAGTAAAAATTCCTGCTGAGAATGTTATCCACCAAGTCTTATAGTATGAATATCAGAACATAGGGAGTCAAGAAGAAAAACACAGCTGTCTACCTTGCACATCAAGTTCATTGTTTTTATTCCCAAATTGAACAATAATGGCTTTTCACAGAGAAATGGCGCACTATGTTCTTGCCTCCTTGGGTAAAGACCTGATCCCACTTTTTTGTACCTTCCAGAGGTTGCAGGAGTTCAGGTAAGCGTGTTTTCCATAGGTCTACCAATGTTGGGTGAATTATCTCAGGCAATATCTTCAAAAGTCCTATTGCACTAGCCCCACGTAATTTCCCTAAACTGGCAAGTATGGATATTACCTGAAGGATAAAAGAGAGCATTCTTGTTAATTTTGGGGGTAATTAAAAGGCTGGCCTATATATTTTTTTAACCATTTTTCTAGATTCTCTTATTCCCACAGTCAATACCATTTTAACAAATCATCATAGTCTGTTCCTACTTATTCTAGAGTGAAATTAATACTTCTCTGAGGATAAAGGTGAAAAATACATGGAAACCACCAACCAAGAACAAATGCAAAGAACTAACCCTTAGGTATATCTATTAATTAAATAAGAACACATGGAAATAGTGCTTGAGTAAGTTACACATATGTGGTCAAAGTAATAGAGGGAATATCTAAACAATAGATGTGAAATTTGTTTGATGATACTTATGGATGAGATTCAGTCTATGCTTGTTTACTATCACAACTAAAGTTTAATATGCATTTCAGATTGAGAAGATAATCTTGCTAATAATAAATATTTATGAGTATCATTAGTATAGCATAAAATTTATTATGCCCTTTTAATGTTTCTCTTGGAATAGCTATATAATTTTTATTAGCATTTATTTGGAACTAAATTATCCTTATCAGGTTAAATTTATTCTACATTGGTTCTCTGTAACTCACTCACCAGAAGTCTGGCCAGTAGCTGCTGTGGCGAAGGAAGTTTCACTAGAAAGAGAAAGTAATTTTCATCATCACTGTAGGGGTTAGAGATTGGGATTGGGTGTAAGATCAAAGCACTGTGGTCTTTCTGGTAATAGGTCTCTCTTTTCTTAATAGAAAAGTAGTGCTTTGTTTATGAATGTACAAACCAGCTCCTGTAGAGATGACAAGTGCTGTTGACCCCTTGGCACTATGTTTCTTCCTCTCCTCTGCCATAAGCAGAATTCTGATGATATTAAATTGATGGTCCAGAGTTTCTGTATATTCCGCAGGTACCACAAAAGTCAGGATTCTTGGCCATAGCACCTGTGGACAATATAGGGCAAGAGGCAAGGATTATTCTTTTCCATTGTTTCTCCCTGGTCTTCACTGCGTGTTTCCCTCTGATTAAGAAGTTTTTCTCTTGTTTGTTATTATTTCGCTCTTCAGGCCAAGTCAAGATGAGATCATTAAATGAAATCTCTGAACGACACATTCATTTTCAGGTGCTAGTTGTAATATGTTGGTCAGTGTTTCTCCATGAGGCTTTTGCTGGAATTTAGGGCAGAACAATTCTTCATTGTGAGGGACTGTTACAGGTATTGCAGAAAGTCCCTAGACCCCACTCAGAAGTGTCAGTATTCCTTTTGTCAATGAGACAACTAAAAATGCCCCACATATTTTCCAAAACTCCAGGGCTGGAGTGCAAATGCTCCAGGCAAGAATGATTGAGAGAGGATACTGAATGGGCTACTATCATTTTATGTGTGCCAGGCTCTGATCTTTCTGCTCTGGAGGCCTGAAACACCAACAGTTTCTTTAGTCAGTATGTTTCATGTCCCTTTGAAAACTCCCCCGTCCTAATGAAAACCTTGGGGCCAACTTGTACTCTTTCCTCTTCCCTGTCATCTATATTTGGTCACCAAACCTAATTCTTGATATTTTCTTCCTACTTTAATGACATTGTTCTAGTTCCTGTGAGTTGTTTTTGATCTGATATACGTCTCTTTGTTCTTAGTCTATCCATGTGTCAATCCACAGATTTTCTACCATTATTATTTTAAATGTTTATCCCTTGCTTAAAATTTTCATTGGTTTATCAACTACAAGGTAGGTTTCAGCATTCCAGGACCGTTAGAGTTTGGCCATAGACTTCTATCTCAGATACTTTAGTATGTATCAGAAATATTGGAATTTATTTGATTGATTACAGGCCCCATATCCAGATATGCTGATGCAGTAGGTCTGGTATGTGACCTGGAAATCTGCATTTTTAGTAAACATCCCAGATCACTCCAGAATCATATGACACGCTAGATGAAGCCTCTAATCCACTTATATGGGGGTGGTCTGTGGATTGTCTTCTGACTGTGCTATGTACTTGTGTCTACAGAGTCTAAGCTCTTCCTCTTGAGTTTCAGATTAATTAGGTCTTCAGTGAGGACTAAGAATGGCTGTTTCTAACACTTTTCAGATGAACTGGCATTGACTGCATATGACTACCACTCACTACTTTGTATTTCTAGATGTGTTAGGGGAAGAAGAGAAATAATATATTAAGGTGCTTATAAACTGTCATGTACTATCTCTATATAGGCTAATTTATATTAATTATCTTAATTAATTAAATATCTATTTTTGAGGAATCACTATGTGTTGGAAACTGAGTATCACAATGTACTTCTTCTAGGTGGAACATCAAAAAACTGATGATACATGGAGTACAAACTTGTGTCTTTGCTCCTAAATGGGAAGGGCTTTAGGAAGGTGGTCAAAGTAACTGTAAATGGTAAAAAAGGGCCCCTTACCTGAGGCATTCCAATGACCAGCGGGTCCAAGGTTTTTAAGACTTCTAAGGTTGTTTCTCGGACCGATTTCTCTCCCTTTTCATTCTCATGGGAGTTAGTTTTTACTAGTTTCTCCTTTAAGAAAGATGAAACAGGTAACTTGTTAATACCCCTAATGCTGGCCCCCTCTGACCTTCCTTGGATTTGTTCTCAGACTCTGGAGTGGAGGATGTAGACATCAAATTAAGGAGCTCGTGGAACCCAGGGATCTTGGTTTCCAACATTTAATCCTTGTTTGAAAGGGTCCCTTGGAGGAAAGCACATGTCTGGTTAAAACACAAAAGCAAAAACTGTGAGGCTCCTTGATCGGCAGATATTTCCTCTTTTCCTCAGGCCTTTGCCATTTTCCCCCAGGGTAAAGATTTTCAAAACAATACTTTTTTTGTGGAGTAGACTGTAATTTCTTTTGTAATGACAAACTTGCTAAGATGACTGAGATGTTAAGTACATGTTTCTTCAGCCTATTAGTCCTAAGGAAAGCTGACCCCAGTTGCCGTGGTCTGAATATTTGTGTTTTCCCAATATTAAAATGTTGAAATCCTAACTCCCAAGGTGATGGTATTAGAAGTTGCAGTCTTTGAGAGACGATTAGGTCATAAGTGCAGAGCACTGCTGTTTGAAATTAGTGCCCTTATGAAAGATAACAGAGAGTTAGCTAGCCCATTCCACCATGTGAGGACACAGTGAGAAGGCATCTTTTATTAGGAAGCGAGCCCTCACCAGACACAGAACCTGACATAAGACACTTGAACATCCCAGCCCCCAGAACAATGAGAAATAAATATTTGTTTTTTAATAAACATGGTATTTTTATAGTAGCCTGAATGGACTAAGACACCAGTGCAGCAAGTATTGGCATTGTGTTTCCTTTTTCTTTTTCTTTTCTTTTCTTTTTTTTGAGTTTAAGTCTCACTCTGTTGCCCAGACTGGAGTGAAGTGGCAGCTCCCGGCCACTGCAGCCTCAACCTGCTGGGCTCTGGCGATCCTTCCTCCTTAGTCTTCCAAGTAGCTGGAACTACAGGTGCACGCTACCACGCCTGGCTATGGCATTGGTTTTCTAAAGCAATCTACTCTGTCTGTCCCTCTCCAAACCACCTCCAATCCAAGGCTTTGGAGGTCAGGTTGCCTTCTCCATAGGGAAACTTTAACATACTTTGTGTTTGTTATAAGTTAGAAGTGATATTAATGAAAGGAAATCAAGAAAACTGGACGTTGAAGAAATTATCAATAAAAGTGGTACTACTGAAATACTACTTCAAAGTTCGCTATTGAATTCCAGCTATTATTATTATTAGTAGTAGTAAAACCCCAGTTAAGTCAATTGCACTTGGTACAGTGTAGCACTAAAAACTGTCGTCTCTTCATACCAGATTCTTGTTCGACATTGTGAATTGGGAGAAGACATAATCAATCAATGGCCATCCTTCCCGAGCTTCAATGTAGCACTTTTCACACATGCTTTGGATTAGGAGAAGAGTGGAGTTCCTTACCTGGAGTAAGAACAATGCAGTCACAACATTTTACTATGTTTGGCAGAAGGGAAATTTACCTTCTTTTATTCCAAGGATGATTTAGTGGGAACAGTTTCAAAAGGGAGCATAAATTGAATAATGTCACTATAGGTTGAATATCCCTTATTCAAAATGCTTGGGATCAGAAGGATTTGGATTTTTGATTTTTTTCCAGATTTTAGGATATTTGCATTATACTTACTGGTTGAGCATCCCTAATCTGAAAATCCAAAATCTAAAACGATCCAATGAGCATTTTCTTTGAACATGACTTTTTTAAAATTAGTTTTTTATTTTTGAGTTGGAGTCTCACTCTGTCACCCAGACTGGAGTCTAGTGACAGGCTCCTGGCCACTGCAGCCTCAACCTGCTGGGCTCCAGCGATCCTTCTGCCTCAGCCTTCCAAGTAACTGGAACTACAGGTGCGTGCTACCACGCCTGGCTAGTTTTTTTTTTTTTTTTTATTGCAGAGATGAGGTCTCGCCAAGTTGCCCGGGCGAGTCTCGAACCCGCAGCGTTAGACAATCCACTCGCCTTGGCCTCCCAAAGTGCTGGGATTACAGTCTGAGCCACCGAGCCTGGCCTGAACATGACCTTTAAGCATCATGTCAGGGCCCCAAAAGTTTTAGATTTTGAAGCATTTTTAGCACCGCTGGTATATTATGAAATGTTGGTAACTTTAGGTTAAACACTGCTTCACTTTAAAAATATTCAATGTAAACCCAGTACTTTGGGAGGCTGAGATGGGAGGATCACTTGAAACCTGTAGTTTTGATACTAGTGTGGGTAACATAGTGAGACCCTATCTCTATTTAAAAAAACAAAAAACAAAAAACTACCTAGGTGTGGTGGCACACATCTATAGTCCCAGCTATTCTATAGGCTGAGGTGGGAAGATCACTTGAGCCCAGGAGTTTGAGGCTGCAGTGAGCTATGATCTCACCACTGCACTCCAGCCTGGGCAACAGAGGGAGACCCTGTCTCAAAAATAAAGAAATTACTCAATGAAAGATAGTATATTGAACTACAGGCCTACAATTGTTTATTCACAATTTCAATATCCCAACAACTCTGAATACAGCAAATTTGTTTATTAAAACTGGTGTCAACTCATTTGATGACAAAACCCAAACTGAACTGTTTTAAAACTATTTGTGGTTTTATTTTATGTAGTGTGGAAATGTATACATTTTCTTGCAGAAATATTCATGGATTTTGATTGTGGGATATTGTCACAGTAACGTTTTTTTAAAATCTGAAAAACTGTGAATTATGAATATATCTGGTCCCAAGAATTAGAGTGAGATTTTACTAATTTTTATGATAGTATTTTTAATAGTTTGGCTTTAATTTATTTATATTATTAAACTAAATAATTTTTTAAACTAAGTAACTATTAGTTTAATAGTAACAAATTATTATTGCTATTCCCTGGAGAACAGAAAGCTAAGAACTAAACCTTTGGTGAATGTATCTTTTAATGGAAGGTGGAAAGAAAAAAATAATTTTGAGCAGGAGGCAGGGCTATATGGTGGCCAAAACAATGAGCATAGCTGAGTAGTTTGTCTAAGTAGAGGAAAAGGGATCCACCTCGCAATTTTTGCCTCGGGAGCTGGCCTTCCATAAAGATCTGTGCTCTTTTATTCTGCCGTAAGCTCTTCTCATAAATCTCCTATTGTCTTGGTCAGTAATAGGACCAGGTTTTTATATATAATCTTTCATTGTTATTTATTGCAAAGCTTTGGTTATTTTAAACATGGTCACTGGCAACCAAAGCCTCTTAAAGGAATTTTCTTCTTTTTGTTGACTTCTGTTTAGCATTTTGTACCAAAAAAATGCAGTTTTTACACAAAAATACAATAATTGCTAATTTTTACTTGATTTTTTTCCCAATGTAAGTTTTATATATTCTAACATGGAATACTTTAATCAAATAATCCGGAAATATTGAGCAATCTACTATGTGCAGAACTTGCTCTAGGTGATGCCTGATTGGAAAATCAGATATTTATGCTAAGAACAGAGTTTAGGGGTTATTATTTTTTGAAAAAAGATACATTATCTTTATAATTAACAAGTAATTTAAAAACTATCTGAAGTGCATTGGTGCAGTGATGTTTTGTGCAAAAATCCTTTTTCCACTGAAAAGACTTTTAGCTGTATGTACTTTAGGCCTTTGCTTTGATGAAGTTTGTCTTTTTGGGAAAGATAGAGTTCTTTTAAAAATGTAATTGATCACAAAACTCTTTATAAAACAATCTCACGAGTTTATCTTTAAAGAATCAAAATCACCGGGCTCGGTGGCTCAGCCTGTAATCCCACGCCTTTGGGAGGCTGAGGTGAGTGGATTGCCTGAACCCGCGGTTCAAGACCCGCCTGGGCAGGCGAGACCTCATCTCTACAATAAATAAAAAAAATTAGCCGGGCGTGGTAGCGCATGCCTGTAATACCAGCTACTTGGAAGGCTGAGGCGGAAGGATTGCCGGAGCCCAGCAGGTCGAGGCTGCGGTGGCCAGGAGTGGCCATTGCACTCCAGTCTGGGCGACAGAGACTCCAACTCAAAACAAACAAACAAAAACAAAAAAAGAATCAAAATCATTTCACTTGTACCTAAAACTATCATCAACAAAATAAAAGTCTCTATTAATTCTCTTACTTTTGTACCGAGATCAGCCATGACGACTTTGACTATTTTTTCGATTGAAATGATGTGATCCCTCAACTTGGGCTCTGAAAGACAGAGGTAGAAATTAAGAAGACCAACTCAGACTGTAGTATGTTCTAGGACTGATGAAAACCCATTAGAATTATGATTCATAATTGAAAAGTCTCTTGTCTTTAATGTCTTATGTTATTAAATTCCCTTACCATCTTCTTTTTCAAATCTTCAAGGATGTGCTTTCTTTGTTTCCCATTGCAGTTGTTTTATCATATTTAAAATGTTAGGTTCCGTAGTGGCATCACTATATCATGCCTGATAGATCAGCTCTAAATTTTATGAGACTGCTTCATATTTATCCGCTAATTATTTGGTAAATCACAGTGCTAACTGAAATTTAAAAAGCTGTATCATGCTGTGCAAAAATGAACTCTCATGTTTTATTAAATCTATCATCAATTTTGTGATGAACTATTCTTTTATATTCACCAAAAAAGAAAAAAAATAGTGGTCAATTGTAATTAAAGATGCCATCAATTGTAAGATGCATTTGATGTTATGAAAATATATGCCTCTTGGAATTAATGAAATATGTCAATTCGTTAAATTCTACTCTTCTCTAAATGTGCCAATCAGTAGAGAATGGGGCACTTCTCTCACCCACACTCTGTTGATGTGGCCACTTCGTCAACTGACTAGATCTTCTAAATTATAAGGTTGATTCTCAAAATTATAAGGTTGATTCTATCCATCCTTCTCAACTGGGTGCATTCATAAATATTGTGAAAGAAGAGTGGTAACTGAAAATGCCTGTTGATTAAATGGATTTAGAGTCTATCATACTTTGTGATCTATCACAGAAACAAAGAATAGAGTACCATATGTTCTCACTCATAAGTGAACCTTGAACAATTATCATAATACTATAAGAAAGGGGTTGGCCATAGTGGGAAACTGTCAGGGAAATGGGGTGGGATTGGCAGATGAGGGAAACTGCCAGGGGAGGGAGGGGCACACCTCATCAACAAGGATACATGCATAATGAACATTTGTATACCTAAACCTGAATTGTATCCCACATCTTTAAAAGAAAAAAAAAAAAAGAAAGAAAGAAAATGCCTGTTGAAAAGGAGTGCAGATTGTAGAAGACTGAAAAGACAGAGTTTCACTTGCATGTGATATTTATAAGCATTGAAAAGATGTAGCATAGGATTAGAGAATGTAAAAACTTCAGTTTGCTTCTTGGTACAAAGTAAACCACTGTGGCTCATCCCTCTTGCTTACCCTCAGTATTGATAGCCGATCTTAACAGAGTCAAGATTCCTATTCGAATGTCTTCATTATTAGTTCTTATTTGTTCATCAAAAAATTCCATCAGGTCTGCAGGGTTGGAATGGGCTGCAGGTTTAAGAAATACTGGGGTCATGACAACTCATTTTCACTTAAAGTAAAATACTTATGAATGGGAAGGGGGTATATTTCATCAAGAAGACAAAGTCACTCTTTCAGTTGGTAATTTGTTTTTATTATGTCCATGCTTCTTCAGTATCATATAATTAATTATACAGTTTGGTCACTAAAAGAGCTTTCTATACCCTAGGCCACTTCTGTTTATACCTGTGAATGTGGTCTTATTTGGAAATTAGGGTCTTTACAGGTGTAATCAATTAAGATAAGACCCTTAAAGTGGGCCCTAACTCAATGTGACGGATGTCCTTGCAGACAAGGAGAAGAGACAGAGGTATATGAGAATGCCATGTGAAGACAGAGGCAGAGATTGGAGTGATGCTTCCCTGGCTGTGAAAATAGAGAGAGCTGCAGGGTTAAGGCCAGGGAGAGTGAGGAGAGAGATGCTTGGCTGAGGAGAGCTTTGGAAATTGTCAGAGGTAAAGTGAATTAGTTATTTAGGCTGGGGGTGGGGGAGAAGAGAAAAGTATAGAGACAAAAGGGCCAGCTAGAAGTAGAAAGGTATGCATACATAAGGCACACGCAATGGAAAGGTATGCAGTGGTGTGGGAGAAGTGACATATTTGGGAGGGTGTAGAGGTGCACGAGGTATTGAATTGCTGCGGTCCCTCGTCCTCAGGGACTGTGTCAGAGCATAGTTTTGGATCCCAACCCTGGGACCTCCCACACAACTTGTGTCAGACATTCTACCCAGGTGTGTGTGTGGGGGGGGTGATGTAGGGGCAAGAAACAAAGGGAGAGAATGAAGGAAGGAGTGACAGACAGGGAGTGACTAGAGGACACAGAGGCTTAGATAATAAGAGGTGACCAGGAAGAAAAAAAAGATAATAATCTCAAATACCGATAAAAAAATAAATGACCTATTCTAAGATTGCCAATTCACTCCAGCTTTCCTGGGACTTTTCTGGTTTGAGAACTGAACATTTTTAGCTTTATGGAAACTACCCCCATTGCCCTCAGTCCTGGGCACCTTGGCATGATTCATCGCTCTTCTTATCCTGCTCCTGGGAACTTGTGGGCAGAGGGGAAGTCATAGAAAACTGAGCTAAAAAAGCATGTTGTGTGTGTGTGTGTGTGTGTGTGTGTGTGTGTGTGTGTGTGTGTGTGTGTGTGAAAGTAACTAAAGTGACAGTTTTCACACCCTTTACCATTGCCATCATAATCACTTGGAGACATTTCTATTAACCCTCTGGATGTTGGGTCATACCTAGAATGAGGAAACAGCTTGAAGCTTCAATTTCATTTTCCTTTACTGGAGGCTCTGGACCTCTGCAGATCTGGGCATGGGGAATGGGGAGGATGTGGGAATAAGGTGGTAGATGTTAAAAATAGAAAAACCAGTTAAAATGAAGCAATCAGATCTGACAGTGTGGTCTTCTTACCTGGTGGAGTAAATTAATAAAGATGGATCTTTTCAAGCTCTTTGGAAGGCCAATGTTGTAAAGAACTGCTGCAGTCAGTATTTGTTTTAGACTCTAAAATGGAAGCTCCCACAGGTTAGTTGAAGGTTTCAGTGAAACAATAGCATGGGATGTGGAAGGAAAGTGTATTTTGTGAGGAACAAACCCATAACCTTCCTGAAGTTACACGTTTTCTTTAGTGGTTCTGGTCTCTCTACCTCGTTCAATGGCTCAGCAGTTTGGAAAGAAAATTCGTAATCCCTTTCTGGAGTTTCTATCATCCAGCTATGATGATCTCTTTTCTACCTCATATTCCCTAAGAGGTATTGAAGTTTAGCTGCCCAAACAGGAGTTTAAGTTCCTTAGGCCTCTTTTAGGCTTAATAACCTCAAATGTTGAAGATTGATTCTCTGATTCCGTTATTCTAGGGTATGGCTCTTACCTGAGTGACATGAAAATCAATCTCTTTTTCTTTATATTGGTTCAGGAGCCAGGGCACCTGGCTTAGGGCATATTCGCAGAAGTCCTCCCGATGTAGCAGCAGGCTCACTGTGGGGCCGTGAGCCTTAACAATGATCACAGTCTATAAAGGTAGCAAACAAATACAATTTCTAATACTTTCTTATGCTTTTAATACATATCAGAGCACCAGAAGCTTTAGGTAGCTCTCCAAAAACTTTCCTTACTGCTTTCAACCAAGAAATGGCTCTTTAAAATCTTTAAAAAATATTCAGGTTACAATCATTGCATGAAATAGAGTTATATTTATATCTATATCTATATTTATATTGAGACTCATTTCAACACTCTCCCTTGTCTCCTATATATATATTTTTTGAGTTGGAGTCTCATTCTGTCATCCAGGCTGGAGTGTAGTGGAACACTCACGGCCACCGCAGTCTTGACCTGCTGGGCTAAGGTGATCTTTCTGCCTCAGCCTTCTGAGTAGCTGGAACCATAGGCATGCACCACCACTCCTGGATAATTAGTTTTTAAAATTTTTTTTGTAGAAATGAGAGCTCGCTCTATTGCCCAGAATGGTTTCAAACTTCTGGGCTTAGGTAATCCTCTTGCCTCTGCATCCCAAAGTTCTGGGATTACATTACAGGCATAAGCCACCAAGCCTGGTCAATCTCTACTGTTTTTTAACCTCTCTCTAATTTCACTTTCTTTCAGTATATGAATGAATTTAACATTATTCTCCCATTAAAGGGTATTTACTGATTCCACCTCACCTGGATTCCCACTATCATCCTCACCTGATTCTTTTTTCTTTCCCCTGGAGCAAAACTTTTTGAAGGTTTTGGTTTATGTATGCTATCTCTACTTCTCACCTCCCTTTCACCCCTCAATCCACCATGTCTTAGCTTCCATTTAACACAAAAAATGAGCAACTTCCAGAGAATAAAATATAAACGTAATACATATTGATTATAAAATTTAGAGATCACAAATACTATGATGAAGAATAAAGCATAGTACCCATAGATAAACAGTGTTTTGTGTATTTTAATTTTTAAATTAGTTTGACTTATCCTTTTTTTTTTGAGTTGGAGTCTCACTCTGTCGCCCAGACTGGAGCGCAGTGGTCGCTCCCGGCCACCGCAGCCTCCACCTGCTGGGATCCCGCGATCCTTCCACCTCAGCCTTCCAAGTAGCAGAAATTACAGGCGCACGCTACCACGCCCGGTTGATTTTTTGATTTATTGTAGAGATGAGGTCTCGCTGCCCAGGTGGGTCTCGAACCCGCGGGCTCAGGCAATCCACTCACCTCAGCCTCCCAAAGGCGTGGGATTATAGGCTGAGCCACCGAGCCCAGCAGTTTGACTTATTCTTTTCCATCTTTTTTTCTCTGTATTTTACTCTCTTAAAAACTGACACCATTTAAAAATATATAGTCCTGTATTCTGCTTTTTCTTTTTTGAATTGGAGTCTCACTCTGTCACCCAGGCTGGAGTGCAGTGGCACGCTCATGGCCACCGCAGCCTTGACTTGCTGGGTTCAGGTGCTTCTTCTGCCTCAGCCTTCCAAGTAGCTGGAACTATAGGCATGCGCCACCATGCCTGGCTAATTTTTTGATTTATAGTAGAGATGAGATCTCACCAAGTTGTCCAGTCTGGTTTCGAACCTGTGGGCTCAGGCAATCCTCTCACCTTGGCCTCCCAAAGTGCTGGGATTATAGGCGTGAGCCACCATGCCTGGCCCTTATATTCTGCTTTTTCTATCTAATATTATAGGATAATTTTTTTGTATGAATTTTACTGTACAACAAATTACCTCAAGACTTAGTGACTCCTCGTTAGTATGGTGGTTAGTGAAAAATAATAGTGGCTAATAACAAGAACGACTTATTTCACTCAAGACTTGTGTGTCAGGTGGGTGGTTCTCCTACCACACATTTCTGTGCAGTGAACACTTGATATGACTTTTCTAGCTTGACTACTGTAACAATGGACTCTATGTAGATCTTTCATTCCTTCTGATAATTTCTCCTTTCTTCATTTCTAAGATCTCATCTACTTGGCTGTCCTATTCCTTGAGTAGCACTCTCTCTATTTTCCATCTTGAATTCTCTCTTTGCTTTCCCCTTAATAATGACACCCCCAGAGCTCTATTTTTTAGCACTTCTTCACGCAATACTCTGATTAAACAGCTACCTAAAACCATTTATTTAGTTGTCACTTATACAATGATAATATTCAAATCTATATATCCAGTTTTTTGCTTTTTTCTTAATTTCAATCCTGAATGCTACTAAAGTAACTAAGATCTCTACTTTAATGTTCCAGCCATTCAAGTCAAAATGTCTATATTAAGCTCATTTTTACTGCTCCAAATTTCTTATTTCTCCTGTTTTCCTCATCTAAATTAATGACCCAAAGATTATTAAGTCAGAATCATCCCAGGTGCTTCAATTTCTCTCATTGTAAACATCCAATTGATGCCAAGTTTTGTGTGCTCTATTCTTGAGCATCTGACTCTTCCAATCAGTACCACTGATGTCACAAATTAATTGAGCTCCTTGCTATTTGTGACCTGGAATATTTCTACAGCCTCTTAACTGATAGTTTTGTCTTAGTCTATCATTATACCCCATCTATCATTAAGGTTGATATTAGAATGATTTTTCTAGTACAGTACTCAAATGCTTGTTTAAAACCCTTTAAGTGTTTCCCATTTCTTAAAAGCAGTTCAAACTCCTATGCAGCATTTAAAGCCCAAGATCATTTTTTCTGGTTTCATTTCTTTCTGCCATACATCTCCATCCTTTCTCCCCTTCACTTTCTCCTATTGCACTTACTCAAGTATGCCTGCTATCCCACTTCAACCTATGCTTGGTAGGTTTCAGTCCCTCTTTAGGGAAAGAATCTTTCCTGTGATGAACAGTTTCATGGGCTGCAAGACTCAATTCCAGTATTGCAGCTCATCAGGAGAGATAAGTACTTCCCTCTCGGGGGGAAGGGGGCACTCTTACCACTTGTTCACTTGTCTGACTCTTCCTGTGGAAAGCAAGGAGACCCATCAAATGGATGCGTTAAATTTTGTTTTCCAGGCACCTTGAAGAAAATACTTCTATAGGATATTTTAAAAGTTCTATGTTTGCTAATGATTTAACTACCCTGGGATGTTAAAAGAGTGTTTTAATAGTTTAAAGTATAGAAAAGAAACTACATTAGATAAGGTAGCTAAGTGTTAAAACTTTTATAATCCAGCAATGAAGACATCTAAATAGTAGGAATATAATTTAGCCTACTTAAAAAAATTATAGCAATTAAGCAAGATAAGGTGAATGTACTTTTAAAGCAAGATATATGTGAATGCACTTTGTAATCTATTTTCTACAAGGCATTACAGTATTTTGAAGCAACCAAGAATACTCTTTAGATGTTATTTAGTTTAATCATGATATTCACAGACTCAAGAAATTTCTGTGGACTGCTGATTTTCCTAATTAATGACTCAGCTCAAATATGAGTTGTGATATACAGAATGTGAAACAGCTAAAATTGTGTATTTTTAATTTATTTTATCTTATTTACTGCTCTCTCTACACATTTGGGATGTCAGGTTCATGAGTGTGGGAATTTGGTCTATTTAATCCCTGCTCTATAACCTCAGCATTTGGAGCAGTGTCTGGCATGTCATGGGGATTCAATAAATATTAGCGGAAAGAATCAATGAATAGTGATTTGAAATAGATGGAAAAAATGTAAAATTTGATAAACCTTGTAAAACATAACCAAAGCATAAAAAAACCCCAAACTTAACTATCATGTCATAAAGAGAAGAGGAATTTCAAGTAGCATAGAGGGACATCCAGCTTCAGGTAGCCTGAGGCCCACTCACATGCATGGGCGAGGCCTGGGGTGCCCATTTCTCCATTATATACCGGAACAGCATGAAGATCTTGTCAGATAGTCGGTTGGCATCCAATCTGGGATAGGGGAAATCTCTCCAGTGGTTCACATACTTGTAAATGGCCTTGCTAAACTTCTCAAGGGCTGCATGTAAAACAACCATAGACTGAGAAAAACATAAAGCTGGAAAAGACTGCAAAATAACTTAAGAAAGTACTGATGATTAACAAATGTGTAATATTTCTATACAATTTTATGACTGTACCAAATAAAGATATAAAAAAAGTGTCCAGTCACATTAGTAAAATGTGTGTGTGTGTGTGTGTGTGTGTGTGTGTGTGTGAACCACTAGCCTGTTAGAAACATGAAAGAAGTCATGTTGTTTTGCTGATTCATAGTATTCGAAGCAGCCACAACAACATCTAACATTTGCTGATTTAATGAATGACTAGATATGGATGAATAGATGGATGGATGGATGGCTGTTAAATTTTATGCCTTTTCTTTAGAGACAGGCAAAAAGTTGCTTTAAAAGGGCACTTAGATAACTTTGTAACGCAAAGAAAGAGAATTTCCTTATTAATGGCCATCAGTACTTCCTGTTTTATTTTATTTTCATTCTTGGTTGTTAGGAGACAGGAATACTATTAGAGTTTCCAGAGTCTATTTGCAGGAACACAGTGTTAGCTGTGATAGTAAGTAGGGATAGTAAAAAGTATTGAAAAGTAGATTACTTCTAGTATAGCTACTCAGGTCCTTGAATCAGATTGTCATAGTTGACAGTCTTGGTTTTGCCACATACTGGCTATTTGACCTCAGGCAAGCTGCTGAATCTTTCCAAATCTCAATGTTCTCATCTATAAAATGGAGGAGAAACATTGCCTATGGATGTGATTGCTGTGAAAGTTAAATGAAATAATAGTCTTAAAATACCCAAGACGGTGTCCAGGCACATAGTACATTCTCAGTATATAACAGATAAGAATATTAATTGAGGACAGAACAGGATGGCATGGGCTTTTAAATACTGCAGAACAGTGATGTTAGGGCATGTTAGAAGTGGAAGGGATCTTAGAAATAATATCTGATGTTTTTTTGAAGGTGAAACTGGAACTGAGAGAATGGCTGGGTTGCCTGGTTGGCTCAGTGACTGAGCAGAGATGATTGAAAGTCCAAGTATCCAGACTTATTCAAGAAGCCTCCCTCTGCATTGCAAATGCTTCTTTCTAGAAATTCCAGGACATAATTTTTTTTTGTAGATTCCTCATTACTGTAGATGTATTTCAATTTGGGGTTGATAAACTTTCTGATCATAGTTTGTGTGCCTATTTTAAAAATTTTATGATTGTATTTTTGTTGCTTTGTTTGCTTGCCATTATTACAACATTACATTATACTCAGATGCCAAAATTTAATGTAATGCTAAGAGCTGGTGAGCTTTCATAATCATTGCAGAGAAAGTGTGATCCAGTGAAAGAAGGCCAGTAGAAATGGAGGTTGTACAGGAAAGTGAAAAGAGTAAGACTGGGTGGCCCTATGGATCTGGGTTTGAATGCCACCTCTATATCTCATTTACTAAAATGTCACCATTTTGAGAAAAATGACTTAGCTTTCAAGACCATCATAAAACGGGATAATTCTGCAGAATTGCTATGAGGATTGAGTGAGATAATTATCTGCAGAGGACCTTCCATGTGGTAGGCACTCAATAAATGGTAATCACTATTATTAGAAAGAATGGGACTGGAGTAAAATGAAAAAGTAAGATTTTGACTCAATTTACATGACAGTTTGTAGTCTGGTCTTAAGTAAAAGGAGCTCGTAGGGATACCCACCAATACAGAAGGTTTCCTTCATCCTTTCATCCTCAGCCAGCCTGAGCATGGTTTGCATGGTGAGCAGGGTCATCATCATGAAGGGAATACTCTGGGACACTGCAGTGAGGAGAGGAGAGAGGCATTATTTATTTTCTTGCACTAGAGTGTTCTGTGAATCTTCATATTAACAAGAAGCACTTTGGAGCTGCATGGAGAAGGTAGATGAGGTGCCATAAGAAGGTGTTCCTATAATTCTTCCACTCTAACCCCACCTTAATGCTAGGCTATAGTTAGAGAACCAAGGAATGGTTGACCGAAAATAAGGTTATAGCTATACAATCACCTGTGCCTGTTGTTGCATGGGAATTGCTTATTTGGATTATTATTACTATTATTATTATTATTATTATTATTATTTGAGTGGGGTTTCACTATGTTCCCTACGCTGGAGTGCAGTGGCACTATCATGGCTCACTGCTGCCTCTACCTCTTGGGCTCAGGTGATCCTTCTGCCTCAGCTTCCTGAGTATCTGGGACTATAGGCATGTGCCACCATGCCTGGCTAATTTTTTTGATTTTTCTTGTAGAGACAAGGTCTCACTATGTTGCCTAGATTGATCTCGAACTTCTGGGCTCAAGCAATCCTCCCATCTGGGTCCTAGGATTACAGGCATGAGCCACCATGCCCAGCCTGGACAATTATTTTGTAAATGCAAATCTCTCCCATTAGATCTTTTCTGTATCCCCAAGGCACATGTAATACATGTAACAGATGCTCACTAAATATTGATTAAATAAGGTAGTATAGAAACAAATGGTAGGAAACCTTTACTTTATGTAAGTGTTCAGTGGTTTGCAGAATATATCTTATGGGAATGTTTCTGCAAACACAAAGTCAGATGAAAGGAAAGTGAAGGCGGGAGTCCAGTCCTATTCTGAACAGCCTGGATTAGTGATTGGTCAGAAGGCTCACCTATTCTCATAAACAGCTGCTCACAGCCCTCTATCAACACTTTTTTAGTAAAGCAGAAGGTAGAGACCCTCTCTCTTCTACCATTTGCTCCTTTTTTGGGTTTTAGACAATTAGGGGTGGTCATTTTTCCAGGGAAAATGTGGAAAGTATTCCCGTTATACCATAGCTGGTTGCCAGTTCAGCTAGGGCAAGCACAACAAATTCATTTGGTAGCTCTAGGATCCTGAAGTTACTTTGTAATTCGTACATCACTGAGTTGAAATCATGTGCAGCAAGAGACACCAAAACCTCACCAGCTAGCATTCTGATTTCTCTGAGAATCTGAGGGAGAAAAGAAAAATAACAATGACGACTAGAGAAAGAGCAGAGTGAGTCTACATAATAAGTTCCCCTAGCTTTGGGATAGAGGGAGAACAGTTTGTTACAGAACCATTGTCACACCTACTCTCGGGTAAGTGTCAGTACCTAGAAAAGCAGAAGTAATTTGAATGCACTTTAAAAATGGTTTCAATAGAGTTATTGTAAGCTTGGGGTCAGTAGAAGTTTTCTTGCTAATTGATCTGGTACCATTAACATAGAATTTATATTTTCTGTTTAAGTGATATGAAACACTGTGGTTGACAGACTAAAGGAAAAGGTGAAATAAAATGGGCTAGGAGTTGAGAGTTTTGGTTTTGGTGTTATCCTGGTTTAATTAACTTTGACATTAGAGATATTGAGAGGAATTTCTGCTTTTGGTGATAATGAACTAGACAAATTTGATCAACTCTCCTGCCGAGGAAAATAAAAAGATCTGGACAAGATATTAAACCATATACTCACAAAACATCAGCAAGCTCACAATGTAGAGTGGAATAAATTGCTGAGTTGAAAAAAAACCTGTTAATCTAGAGAGATACATCCTATATTTGAGACTGATTTCCAGTATTTTGGGGCAATAGTCAGAGTTTGTGGTCATGCCACCTTTGTCTTTTGGGGTAAGACTCTAAATGGTTACATTTAGATGAAAGGTTAAATTGGTCCTCACATGAGCTGTAGTCTAACACTGAATTACAGAAGTGGCGTAGAAATTTCAAGCCCTAAAAATGATCACAGATTATTAGTGCCCTTGGCAGTAACAAGTAAAACTTCTTTCTGGAAAAAAATAACATTACCCTGGGACTCAAATAACTTCTACAAACAAAACAAATATATGCAGATAAATATAAAATTTGCTACAGTGTCTATCAGACAATCTACGATAACTAGGCACATGAAGAAATAAAAAGTCATATAGAAGCAAAGAAAACTGCATTCTAGGTAACAGTTATGTTATTTGGAAAAAAAAAACCTCTCTGAAAATAAATTTTCTCATCTAACAGAAGCTTGGATAATATTACCTTTAAAGTCTTTCTTAGCTTTTCCTCAGCTTACTCATTTGTTAAAGGGTAGATAACAGGCACTGATACTGTATACAAGTTACCATGAAGACAAAAATAATTTAAGGTCCTGGCAGCAATGTAGAAAAAACATATGGGTGTCCACATGAGGGCAATTGGGTCGCTTAAAGACCCTGTTGCTGGCCTTGCTGGCTCTGGTGCTGATTCACCATCAAGAACCAAACTTACATTTTCATCTCTCATGTCCTTAGAAGCATAATAAACCAATCGTTGGATAATTGCATCATCTAAGATGTCAGTATTCTCAATAACAGAAGTGAGATGACTGTAAATGTCTTCCTGTGAATATACAAAGGTATACACAGAAATTTGAGTTGCAAAAATAAAAGAACAGATGAAGTTCAAATGAGCATCACCAATAAAGAAAGCAACGTATTTTTACTCCACAATGGGTCTTATGTATCTTAATTTAGGCTTCCTAAACATAATGTGCATATTTTGCAGTCACAGACAAAGTTCATTCTAAAAACTATTTTAACTTGACTACATTTGTACAGCACTAGGTAGTACCACTCCCTGGTAGTAACAGCATCAAGTAGAGTGACAGGTACTTCATTTCCTCCCAGGGTCCCACGGCGGTGATTTTCAAGAGACTGGTGTACCAGGTAGCCTTGCCTACCTTCAGTTAGACCTTGCCGTAGAACACACTGCAGATTTCAAAGCAGCTGCTGCTAAGCTATGAAACTGCATTTTAAGGGAAATTTATAGACCCTTGTTTTATTAATGCCTTTGCCAAGAAGAGGTGGTGTACAATGTTTTGAACAGGGCTTCGACATCCCGGCATCATGTGACTTGACCAGAGGCTATGTGTGACGGCTATTCTAAATCTCTTAGGAGGCTACATGTTTTCTGGTAAAAGAGAGACTGATGTGCTGAAATCTCCAACAGCCTTGGCATGTACCTCCAGGTACTATTGTGTCTAAGGTGTGAAATAACTTACTTTTCATTATTCCTCAGGGCTGGTCCTTAGGAAGTTTGAGAATAAGGAATGGTTTTGTCTTTGCTTTCTTCCCTGTACTTTCAGAGACTGCCTAACCATCTCTGTAAGTCCTTCAGGTGCTTTCTCTGCTTCCTGTAGGTCTCTTTCTCTTGGTAAGGCCCTTACTGTGTTTAAGGAGCCTTTACTGTGTTCCTGGGACTATGCCAGGCTCTTTGTCTGGAGAATTTCATTAATAATCACACCAAGCCTCTGTTTTTAACTGGCACTTAAAACTCTTGGTTATGCTGGCTATTATTATTCCCTAATTTGACTCACCATAAAAATAATTTGCAAATGCTTGTTAAAAGTACGTGTTCTCTGGTTCCTTCCCTGGAAATTTTCCTTTATAACTGTTGGGATTCAGAGATCGTTCTCCAAGTGATTTCCAGTGGTTGAGGAATAGTGCTTTATGGGAAAGTTAATACATATTGAGAGATTAACATTATGGTTTTCAACCATGCTTAAATGTTAGGATCCTCTCTATGAACTTTAAATGCACTTTTGGGAATCAGATGGTCTTGTGTTTGGATATAGTTCTGCTGTTTTTAGTTAGGTAAGTCATGTAACTTTTCTGTGCCTCATTTTTTTTCTCAGCTGTTAAATGAAAATAGCAATACCTACCTCATAAAATTGTTGTGATGCACTATTATTTGGAAAACATTTAGTGATTTGCCACCTGGATAAGTGTTCAATAAAGGATAGTTATTTCTTTTATTTTATAAATGGTTGCTGAAGTCAGAAAGGACTTCAATTCTTAGAGAATTGAATTTCTAGTTGTAAAATAGCATCATAGATGAGAAGGGGAGCCTTTTGCAATTTTCATAGGTGCCCTCAAATTATAAAGTAACCTTTCATCCATATGGTTCTAAATCTGACATCCTCCTCTCTCCACATGTGCCTGTATAAAGTTATGAAAAAGAACATCCTTTTGTTGTCTTCTAGAAGTAGATACTGTGATCTTAGAATGGTAAATCATTGTTTAAACATTATAATGACTTACATTGCAACTGTATTTTCTGGAAAATCTAATGCTATATAAGAAACCAGAGAAAAATAAGAAAGTCAAGGCCAAGAAGAATGTAGATGAAATGTTGCAACAAATTGTGAGTTGCAAAAAAAGTGAGTGGGAAAGAGATTTCTTTTCTCTATTTGTCCTACCTTGTTAACTTTATCTTCCTTGTTTAGCATGCCAAGAGTGAGGTTAATGTCTTCAAACATCTCTAAAATGTACAGAAAAAGAAGAATTAAAATATATGCTGAGATGTCCTCCTGTTAATTATTTTGCAGTAGTCACAGAAAGTTCATTCATTCATTTTCTTTCTCTCCCTCTCCCTCTCCCCTTCCTTCTTCCTCTGTCTCCCTTGACTGCTAGCTCTTTGATGGTAGGAACTGAATCTCATTCATATTTCATACCCACGCCATACTTGAAAAAGCAGATGCTCAATAATTTTTCAAAAACCTGAATTAAATGTGGAGAGGAAGAGAAAAGGTACTAGCTTCCTATTTCTCCCTTCCGTCAAGTAGACACATTATATAGCCTCTCTATCAAGGCTAAGATTCAATGAACTGAATCCCTTACTCCTGACTTGGGCATTGGAAGGAAAGGTGCAATATAGCTGTTTATTTTTCACTTTTCCCTTAAGATCTCTCCTGTTTTCTTTTTCCATACCTTCTTTTCCTCCATCTATTCTCCTGTGCCTGCCAGATCCCTCTTCTGGTCCCATGTGCATGAGACCTTGTTGTTTTCTGATAATAACCCAAGTGCTTTTGGATTTTTCTCTTCAGCAATATATGTTTTTGAATAAACCTCTCTAGAAAACTGAAACAAATTTGAATCAAAGGAATTGAGCACTTTGAGGCCACATGGCAAGTTGGTAGGAGAGATGCTTTTGGAGGTTAAGATTTTCCATTGCCTCCAAATCAAACAACATACCCCTTTAGTGCAGTCTTTTTTTTTTTTTTTTTTTGGCATAGCAGAAAGATAACCATTCTTGGAAAGTGGAGGGAAATATTTCTAGTATTTAAAATTAAACAAGAAACTGCCTTTCTTTGATATGTAGCCACTTTCTCCTTAGGTAAACTCAAAATTTTTAAAGAGGGTCAAGCACAATAATCTCTCAGGTTTCTAGTCTATCATTGGTCCTACACAACATAATTTTAATATTTTGGAATAAAGGGAGAGTAGAGAGAAATATCTTATTTAGCATACCATTTCATAAATCCCTCGAGATATACAGACCTCCCAAAGTGACACACCAACATCCCCCCAGCCCTCGCATATACATGTGATTCAACAGACACAGCAGAGCTCTGGCTCCTCAGGACCCAATGATGCTTACCTATGGGTTCCTCCATGCTGTGAGTCATGTCTTGGCTGCTTCAGGCTCCCTAAAAGGCAGTAGCACCAAAGTATCAGAAATAGTAAGGCTAAAGAATCAAAGAGGTAGGCTGGCACGTTTCTCAAATAAGGTTCACATAAGATTTTCTAAATGAAAGTCCCTCCTTCACTTGATTGGTACAATGATCTGGGAGCTTCCAGCGATGGGCTTGCTGTTGAGGATGATGCTGTATTCTACCACTATGACATTTTCTTGCTTCTGAACGACTGCTAACCAAGAAAATGGCCGCATCTCATCGAATATTGTCCCTTGGGTGGAGATCAGAGTATTTGAGAAGGAAGAAATTAGAGACTGGAACTCAAACCATTGTTGTAGACCAAGAGAGTTCCTCTCTCGAAACTTGGGTCCATTGGTCACAAATTTGAGAATGGCTTTCACTGGTTACTTTACTGGCTTGGTGTTGGTAAAGCCTTTAGGGTGATCTTGTTTGTTCTACTTGGTGAAAGTCACTCACCCAAACTGGGCATGCTCAGTGGATTGGAATGCCTGTCAGGGGCAGTTGAGTGGAATTTCCAACTGACAGCAGCATAGCCTCCCTCCCCACCAGTCCCTCACTGACTTAGTCAGGCGGAGACTTTCTCTGACTCCATTCTCTTTGTTTTCAGGTCATATTTTATCGAAATTTCTTGGCCATAACACTTTCAGCTTTATTAGCATCGGCCTAAATCTGGTCCCAATGCCCTGTAACCCTAAATTTATATGATCACTCTCTCAGATGTCTGAGCTGTGTGTGAATGTGGTGGATGATAGAGATTGGGAAGGAGGTACTAGCTGCCTATAGGGCTAAATTTAAAAAGGCCCAAGAAGCGGGCTCGGCTCATGACAAATTTCAGCTGCTGCTTTTTTCTGGCTAGTTTCTCTTTGTTAGCAAAGCTTATTTCAATTTAAAGGTCAAGTGTTTTTAACTAATCCTTTGAATTAATCATTCTTTTCATAGATATTTTGCACTGTGTCTATTACAGAGGTCCTCAGCAGGCTGGTGGTTAAAAACATTTTCAGCTTCCTGAGTCAGTATCACTTCTTCTCCAGTATTGTTCACAAGTGCCTTGTCATAGGATTCACCTGGTGTCCTTATTTAAAATGTCAGTTCCCAGGCCACACTTCAGACCTGGTAAATTAGAATGAATTTACATTTTTAATGTGTGCCTCTGGTGATTCTTAGATTCACTAAAGTCTGAGAAGCACCGGCCAAGATCCTTGCCCAATTGCCCATTAGTGAATAGGTGAAAATTTAGCAGTTAACTAAAGAGAGTTTGTTGTGATTGGGCCAGAACAGACTCTGCTCTTCCTGAGTACTATGACTTACTCACCCACTGAAGAATAGGCTGAGATTAGTGAGTCAGAGAGGTGTTGGGGTAATTAGATGCAGCTGAAACTCTTAGTCTTATAGGGAAAACAATGTTAGAAATTATGTGCTCTTAGAATCTTAAAGAACAATGTACAATAGAATCAACGATAAAAAGCTAGCCATTTAGCCAATCATTATAATCATTTTCTTAATATTTCTGTGAGCAGTGAAAAATGATTTTTCTGTGAGTCTGTACATAAAGATTTATTTGATTTTATAGAGATTAGAGAAATTAGAAGATGATTGATTTATATTGATTTTGTAATTTATTTATCAAGACAATGAAAACACATTTTTCTGCTAAAATCCTTTCAGACAAAGCACATTCGCCCATTGAAACCAATGTTGCAAATAGGTGAAAACATCCTATATCCTCAAAACAGCTAATTTGTTGTCATTTTATTCCATTTTGGGAGGGGCTACTTATTATATCTTTCTGTTATTTCCTCTTTTTCTGTTTACACTAGGCTAACATAATATGGGTTTGACTTCTCTGAGACTCAAGTGGCATGACTAAACACTAATTCTCAAAGCAACTAGGTTGGCATGTGTTAACTAGTTAAATATTGTTTCTAGATATTTGTCTCTGATAGGTCCTAAATTTAGCCTCCTAAGAAACTAGATGTCTCCCTGGGCATGTAGTAACCATCTTCTTTCAATATAACTTGTCAAATGAAACTACCTAGTCCCAGGATTGCTGTGTTTCCAAATGTGGTGTTACCAGACAAGAAGAAGAATAAGACAGTAAATGTAAAATATAAAGTCATGGAAGAATACATGCATAAAAATAATATGCAAACATTATAGAAATGTAAATTTTGCAGTTTTAATGGTTTTATTTTAGATGGTTTTATAGTAAAGTGTAATTAATTTAAACTTTGACATCAATCCTTCTGTTCAAAAAGAAGTGTTAGATTTTATAAGATGTATTAAAAGTGAAATTAGGTGCTGCTTTGCTTTTTCAGTTTCGTAAAATAAGCCTAGTCTCTTGTACTCTAGCATATAAAAGGGCGAGAAATATTAAATGGCGATTTATATAGAAGTAATTGTGCTTTTGATGCCTGCATTTCCCACCCTCAATTTTCCTCTTTTTTTTTTTCCCTTCCTCCTTCCCTTACTTTCCTCTCCTCTTGCCTCTCCTGTCTCCTTCTTTCCTCTTCTCTTCTCTCCTGTTCCCTGGAATCTCATTTCTCTCCTGTTTTTTTTAGTGGGATACTTTCATTATATCTCCTTCTTTGCACTTCTACTTGTAGTAAATGACAACAACAACAACAGAATAATTTTCAATATAATTCAGTTTAGTCAAATTCAGCATTCATTTATTGACTATTTACTAGGCAAGAAGCCCATAATAGGGACACTTGGACGTATTAATATCATCATGAAAGACTCATGTCCTAACCTCAAGAAACTTACAGTCTAGTGAAACAAAACCCAGTACATTGGCACAGTGCACTGAAAAATGAGACAGGATCATTATTATGATAGACGAGCAAATCAAGAACATGAAAGCATTGTGAAATCTGTCACAAAGTCCAGAGTAAGCACTTTAGTTGTTCTTTCAAGGTAGAGATGAGTCCTCTTTATAACATTCAGAGAAATTAATCCTCTTTCTTTTCTAAGTAGAAGACAACAGATCCTCTAATACATTTTTGTCTTCTTCAGCCTGGATAGTGAGAGTAAATAGTAGCATTTTTCTTGATTTTCTATTTTATTTACCAAAATTTGCAATGTTATTGTTTTCAATTGTTTTTATTGTAAAGATACAGTCAGCTGTTATTAAGAGAAAATACATATGCAAAATGCTTTTTTCCCCCAGAGTAGAATTCATGAATGAAATAAAAATGAAGAGAAAAACAGCATAAAACTTGAAGTTCAGAAACTTGAATTGTTTCTAGGTTTTGCTTCAAACTAATTGCATAACTCTGAGAAGATCAACCGAGTCCTTGGACTGAGTTTTATATTTCAATTGCAAAAAATGAGATCAGGTTTGTTGACCCAAGCATCATTTCCTTTGCGAAGCACTTTGATTTCATTTTCTGGGTAATACAGAAACCATTTATAATGTTTGTAATTCCAAAGCAACAAAATTAGAAATACATTTTTGCATTGGAACCATGCCATGGTTTGAATATGTCCCCTACATTTTGTGTATTAGAAGGTGAATTCCCAATGCAACAGTGTTGAGAGATGGAATGTTTACAAGGCAAATAATTGGGTCATGAGGGCTCTGCCCTCATGAATGGATTAATGCCATTGTTACAGGAGTGAGTTATTTATTGAGGGAATGAGTTCCTGATTTAAAAAATGGGTTTACCCCTTTTCTTTCATGCACATGTGTGCTCTCTTGTCCTTCTGCATCTGTTATGGGGTGATACAGCAAGAAGTCCCGCACCAGATGCCAGCACCTTGATATGTAACTTATCAGCTTCTAGAATCATGAGATCTAGATCTATTGTTTATAAATTACCCAGTCTGTAGTATTCTGTTATAGTAGCACAAAGCAGACTAAGACAAACTGTTTGTGGATGAGCAATTCCTTACATATTTTCCCATATAAATCCAGCATGAAGACTTCTTTCTTACAATGATAGCAGCCAGTGATATGGAGAGGGGAGAGCGAATAATTTTTTAGAGGCTGAATTCAAGACAGCTGTCACTGTGGACAGTGAGGTGAGGCAGGTGAATATATTCAAAGATTATTACAATAACCAAGTTTCGATTAATGTTTCATGATTAAAAATCCTCAAGAGATGCTAGCCATAAATTGCCAATAGGAAACATGAGTAAACAGTAATTACTTTTTTTGGCATATCATTAAGCATGCTGCATTTTAAAATTGAGAATATGGTTTGAAAGTTATTCATTCAGTAATTCGGAAAGGATTTAAAAATTTAATTTCTCCAGAAGTTACAGATGATTTATTTATTTATTTATTTATTTATTATTTTTTAAATGAGAAGAAACAAAGGCTATTTATTCTTAGCTTGCTAGAGCAAGGGCGTTAACCACTATCACTCATGTTTAGCAGAAATGCAAAGTTAAAAACCAAGGATCAGGAAAGCTTTATAGCTGAAAAAGGCAAGACTTCAGCTATACCCTGATGGGAGGTTGTCAGCATGGAGAAGCAGCAGGCAGGTCAGCTAGAACATGGGAATCCTATGTGATCGTTTACTAATACATACTTGGCTTTCTCTGGTTGGTCCTAAATTGGAAACCAGGACAGAAATCAAGGAAGCTGTCAGTTGTCAGTCAAGTCCTGGTACAGATGATTTATAAAATAATTTCACTCAGATGATTGATAATTCAAACCCCTAAAGATGAATAAGTAATTTACAAATTGTTTCTTAGTCTCTCATATTAAAGCATATCTAGCTTTGTTACTGACAGTTATTGAGAGAAGAACCCAAGTTGTCTTTATAAATTGGGATGGTGGACCAAACAAAGGAGCCCTTTAATTTTCAAGACTTTACCTAATGACTTGGTCTCATAAAACTTGGTTTTCTGCTTTTTGGAGCTCATTCACCATGACCAGAGTTTTTAGGACTAGATTTTAATCTCTCGGACACTTAAGTTGTATTAGTGAGGAATGAAACATCTTGTTTTTGACTGAGGAACTTACTTTTAGTGGCAGCTAATAATTCAAAGTGGGATACTTTCATTATATCAGCTGCTCATATAAATTACTTGAGTCTCATAACTGTCCAAGTAAATAAATCTTAGAAGAAAAAGTTGTCAGTGTTACATTTTAAGGATTAAAAGACAATTTCATTGGTTCTGAATGATTCGTTTACATTTAGAATTTTTTTCACTTATTAAAAAGGAATCAACATATCTGTGGTCTTTTGATTACTTTTATAAATTAAAACACATTTTTAATTCATGATTTTGATAGTTTTAATGGCCTATAGAGTGTCACAAATATGTGGAGAGTTTCATGTTACACATAGAGACTTTTAGAATCCCACAAAAGTTCAATGAGTTTTATAAAAACAATTTATTAAGCAAAACTGATCAAAATCATTGAACTCAAGAATGATAGTAAAATATCAGATAAAATTTTCAAATAATAAATTTTCTGGTTACCAATAGCACTCAAATATAA